TGCTACCAATTTATTGAATGTCACAAATTATACTATGGTTTAAAACTTATTTTGTGCAGATAAACGAATACAACGAGTCGTTATCCTTGTGGAAATTAGTAGGTTTATTGAACTTGCTCGATCGCATGTTTCCAGCAAATTAACATGCTCTAAAAATTTCCGACAAACACCGAACACGTTATTGCGCGCATCGATACCAAGGTAGAATTTTTCGAAATAGCATGTTTTGATAATTGGCATTCGAGAAATCCATTCTATGGAATTGGAAACACATTTTTGTCCACCTGATAAAGTAGACCACGAGCTAATCTAGCTGTTAATATCTGGTTATTTGGTCATTCGTGTATAAAATATCGAAGAGACTCTGACCTACATTTAGAGAACCGTCGACGATTTATTAGAAACTGGGGTCACGAGGACTTTGATACTTATTATTTCCAGTTGATAATATTTCTGGAGATTAATTTCGATGTCCTCCAAACTTTTCCACCGATTACTAGTTTATTGTTGTTCGCGCACGCGTCCTTGCCCGAATGTAATTGAAACGTAAATCTGAGCATAATGGCGTATTTGTTGCGAAGTAAACTTATCTAGCTCCGCGTTATCCGAGTGCATCCTGTACAATTGTATCGCCCCGAGTACGATATGACAAAGTGTAAGATTGACGCATACGAAATGTTGTCTTTTTCGATCAAACTCTCCATATCTAATCGAAATAATTCTCAAGCGATTCCCCGTGTTTTTCCAGACGATCGACAAATTTGTTATTTAGGCCTAATGAGAAGCACAATGAAAAATGATTATTTTAGAAAAAGTTCTCTAGTTAGCTACGTTTACTGAAACTTTTGAACGTCGATCGAGATCTTTTCTACTTATCTATCGCCACAGAACGAGTAACATCCGTTTTAAACAATCTCGTTCCAAATCTCATTGTTCCCCCGACCTTCGTCCTGCTAGTACGGTAAACCCACCATGTTAACGCGTAATATAGGAGTTCCGTAATAATGAAAACCACGAGATTCGAGACGTACAGCTCGTAAAAAATGTGACGGTACGTTACGGCGGTGTAAAAAGAAAACACAATTTGTCGTGTTCTTTCCAAGAGCAACCGAACTGACGCAATACCACAAAACCACTGCATGGAAACACACATGCACGTATCGAGGAGTTTACGGAACTGGGAATCCCCATGTGTTGCTGTACATGAGACTGCCTGTACCGCGTTATACGAGCGTGATTCACGACGGTATATGAGGATTTTCGCACTTTTTTCGCCACGTTATAGGAATCTCAGTTAACAAGTCCGTGTTGTACGAAGGTTTTCTGCCATTTACAATCTTCCATCCTCGACCCTGAGGCATACTTTTACAATCACGATATTTACGATCCTCGCGAGAGTCGAAATTCGAAGCATTGCATATGGCGGCTTGATAATAATTTTAAGCACGATGCTTGCAAGTGTCGCGGTACGCGCTCGACGAAATAGAGACGAGGATATCACGGTGTCCCTAACTGTATATTGACCTCCGATGCCAACTGCCGTAAACACGTACTATTCCACATCTCGCGCTCGACTAACTGCTCGTAAACTTTCCTTATTTAAAAGCTCCAACGCGACGACAATTTTCCTCTCGGGGAGCGAAATTTTACCATCGTTATTAAACAGCGTCTTACGTCGTATCGATCGATCTATTCTCGAACGGTGCTCGTTCTATTATTAATAATGAAAATTCTGCTTAGACGTTAAACGAATGCGGCAGAATGATTTGCACAGAAGCCGCGGGGCAAAACTGAAAATTAAGACCTAAATAAATCCAGGTTCGCCAACGTAAAATTGTGATTTATTCGCGGCAGAACGGTCCGAAGGTTCGTTCGCAGGCTGAACAGACTTGACAGAGCGTAGCTCCGTAGTGAAACAGGCTCCGTCGACTCGACCGAGGAGACTCCGGTCGTTTCTCCTTCGGCCAACGACCGTCTTTTCTCTCTACCTTTAGTTTCGTGCGTCCGTAAGTGTACACGTCCGACCGACGTCCACGACGCCGCTCCCTTTACGCGCGTCTCTAGATAAATGCGACATTTACCAACCAAACGTATGCACACGCATCCAAAACGTCGATTTTTCCGAATAAAAACCAGCATCGAGACGCGAGACGATTCCTAATCGATTTCGAGTAAAATACCACTCGAAACTCGATCTTCTGGAATTTTCTAATGCAGAATGTACAAAAATGTTTTTGCCTCGCTACCATAGCTATTCTACACCCTTAGAACGGTGATCTACTATTATAATTTATGATAGAATTTTAACCAAACCTTTTAGTGGAAGATTCTAGAGACCAAAATAAAAAAATTTCAAATCGTTATAAAAAAATTATTTTTGGTTGCAGGGGTCAATTACAATCATTTTTGGTCAACACACATACCTCCAAAATCCTACGCACTTTCGAGAAAAAAATTCGAGTAGGTGCTTTTTTAGCGAAATTAAACAGTTTCAAATCGTTCTAAAAAAATTATTTTTGGTTGCAGGGGTCAATTACAATCATTTTTGGTCAACACACATACCTCCGAAATCCTACGCACTTTCGAGAAAAAAATTCGAGTAGGTGCTTTTTTAGCGAAATTAAACAGTTTCAAATCGTTCTAAAAAAATTATTTTTGGTTGCAGGGGTCAATTACAATCATTTTTGGTCAATACACATACCCCCAAAATCTTACGTCCTTTCGGGAAAAAAAATTCTTTACCGAAAATATACTGTGTGGCCGGAAATGTTTCTACAACTTTTTAACAAAGCCTCAATCAACAAATTTATATCCTTGATTTTCGTCTTATTTTGGCCTCTAGAATCTCCCATTAAAATTTTTCCCAGAGATGACCGAACACCCTGTATGTTTGAAGAAATTCCAGGAAGCTGGAAAAAAACAAAAGTTCCCATGTATTTGCACGGGAATTTCCTGGATTCCAATAGAACGAATAAATTCACTTACAAAACTTTCGAAAAAGTTCACGAAAATTAATCGTAATCATATTTTCTTGAGGTGTTTGCTGCAATGCATCGAGACAAATACATACACGTGTTTAACGTAAAAACAATATAGAAAACATTTTAGATTGTGATTGTGCGTAACAAATATAGCAAAGTTACACCAGTTTTGGGACATTCGGTATCTGAAACGACAAAAGAGTGGACGTCTGCGTGTTCGATGTCGTGCGTGAACCGTAAACGCATTATGTTTCAAACGTGCACACGATTAGCAAGATAAGATGTTCAAGCAAAGCGAGAATTTGATGATTTCGTGGAAGAAAGAGATCAAGAAACGAAGGTGAGTTGGAAAGCATTTGAAGAGAACAAGACCGGTTCCACGCGCGTTCCTGTCACGATATTTCTTAGATGTGTGGAGAAGCACAAAGACGTATGTACATAACAACACCGTTGATAGAATGCACGTACGATGGTGTGCGTGGAAAGAAGCGTACGCGCGGCAAGCGCGAACATGTATAAAGGGATTGTGCAGAGTTCGATGTAAATGAATCGTGTTTATAACAATAGTTCCTGCTCGTTATATCAGCAGCCTTTCCTACCGTGTACGAAGAGCGTATGCCACACACTGTCTTATGCCCGGTGGAAAGCCGTTGCTGGCAACGGGACCATTTCTTCTCCTTTCGCCATAATTTTCACGAGGGACTAACACCGCTGTACGCCGAAGACACACTGTACTCACATCTTAATACGCGACTCCGTCTTGAAGCTGCATTCGTAGGCCCGTAGTATTCGATGATTGGATGCTATAGAACTCGCGTCAGCTCTTTGGCCGAAGTTACTCTTAATCGTATTTGATATTCCACTGTACTCCACTCACTCACTACCGCACTCCCCTCGACCCTCGAATAAGATAGGCGATACACTCGCGAGCTGCGGACCTACCGAGCTGCCAGCTTACCAGCTACCGTCCCGAGAGTCCCGGCCAATTCTCGATGTCCGTTTTTCGCGCCGACAACTTTGTTCACCTTTTGGTCGCACAACGAACTCGTCACTGATCCGCACCGAATAACGAATCCCTTTCTTCTCGAATCCCTAAAAATCGTTCGCCCGGGAACGATTCCACCTTAATACACAATGAACGCGTGTATACGAACCGTGAAAATCGTGAAAACGATGAGATATTGACAAATACGTCGCGGCGTCGCGACACCGTCGACTAAATTTCACTCGGCCACCAGCTGGCGCCACATTGCAAACCGTCCGTCGTCCTTTAACTCGTTAAAACAGAGGTTCCCAACCTTCTACGCATGTCGATTCCTTTCATTCGATATTCTAATCCTTTCCCTGTACTGATAAGAAACGAGAATTAAGTACCAACAGAATAAAAAATGACTAAAAACAAACGTAACAGAATTTCTCTAAATTGATATCGACTGTCGCCACACTATTAATTATATATAACTGAAATATGATGTTGATGTAATATAATATGAAGTAAAATGTATTTTGCTACTTAATAACTTGTTGCTAAGTAACTAAATCTATAAGATCCTTAGACTTAATATTTATAATCAATACCTTTTATATCCAAATTGAAAGCAATAAATCTTAAATATAGATCACTTCTTTGTTTACGAAACATGTTTCTTGATTTACATGTATGACAAATATAACGTACTAATTATTGTCAAAATTTACGAACTTCATTAACCCAACACTTTAAATATTACATCTATTTTATAATTGTAATAATTTGCAGACAATGTGTAATGTTAATTATTTATTATTGTTTTAAAAATCGCTAGTATCGATCAATGAACTTGAACTTTATGTTGGTCAAATATACGTCTACATACAGATATGAAATTTATGCAAAACTTTTCAGAAACTCTGGCAGAATTTTCTAAATTACTTCTATTCGATTTAGATAAACTTTTGCTATCTTTATTTTTCAATTCACGGCATATGATTATTTTTTAATAAACTGCATGTATCCATAAATATGGCGGGATTGTTTAAGAAATCGAAGTCGACGTTATTTTTTTAAGTCGAATTGTTAAGAAACTGAACAAAATTGTTACTCCCTTGTTCACACCTTAAGAATTTATTCTGGCTAATCGTGCAACTTCGAGTAAAACTTCTAATATGTATTTTTCTAGTAACGTACTTGGTACAATTGTTCTAACCTAAAACGTACCTTTTATTATATTGAAAAAGACATTTTCCCAGATAGATTTAATTAGCTGCAAAGAAATACATTTGAATACCTTAAAATATACAGTGTACTCGTTAGAGTTGAATATATTTTATCACATAATGGATAACATATTTGGTAAAGAAGATTCTGGAAATGAAAGCGAACACATAGATATTGATGATAAAGAAGACAAGTACAATAATTCTCAAAATTCTGAGTCCAAAGACGCGGAACCAATGGATGCTGATAATTTACAGGTCAAGGTATATTTATAATGTCTAAAATAATTAGGTTATTTTATTTCATTTATTTTGAATTTCTGTTTATTACTCTCAACATTAGGTAGAATCAGATGCAATGAGTTCTCAGTCTCAATCAGATGCGGATGATATGGGCTCTAATTCGTTGTATGCAGTACCTGAGGATCAATTAGAAATTGTAAAGCATGAAGTTGAAAATAGAGAAGAAGAACAAATTACTGAAGATATATTTGGGAATGATATACTACTATCACATAGAAATTCAACAAATGTTAAGGAAAGACGTGAAAGTAAAGAGAAAAGTAAAAAAGAATTGGAGGAGGAGGAAAGGGAAAAAATGCAGTATGTACTTCAGTTTTTTGTTATTTGTTTACATATTATTTTCTAAGTACATACTGATGTATCTGTGTTTGTTTATTAACAGGGTATTAGTCTCAAATTTTACAGAGGATCAGTTGGATAGATATGAAATGTACAGAAGAGCAGCTTTTCCAAAAGCAGCTATAAAGAGGGTAATACATTTCTGACCTATTTTTTTGAAACGTTTTTTAAATATATTTTGTAATTTGCATTTGTTGTTGCAGATTATGCAAACCATAACAGGTTGTTCTGTATCGCAGAACGTAGTTATCGCTATGTCCGGTATTGCAAAAGTATTTGTAGGAGAAATTGTAGAAGAAGGTATATCGTGAATTTTTAACTAAAACCTTTAACAAAGTGAAACTTTTTTCGTTTGACAATTTTAATTTTGAATACAGCTCTTGATGTCATGGAAGCGCATCAAGAAACAGGACCGTTACAGCCGAAACATCTAAGAGAAGCGGTTAGAAGATTGAGACTTCAGGGACAAATTCCAAATGGTCGTGCTCATAAAGCATTTTTTAGGTTATGAATGCTTTACAATATAGTTGATTAAAATTGTGATTCTAATTTTTAAACAAAAGTATAGAGTAACATAGAAGAATGTAAGGGTATGTTAGTTTGAAATAATGATATTTATATGTAAGCTATATAACAACAAACAATCCTATTATAACCTAGAAATTTGTATCATCTCTTAAAGCAAATAATAATTATTATGTTTCAAAACTTGTATTTTTTGTTTTCGTTTCGTAATTACTATAATTTTATGTATTTTGTACTGTAGGTATAAGAAAACATTTTTTTGTAAACAACTTGAATATATTCTCAAATACCATACATATGCAGCATATGATTAAAGCTGTCAAATAAATTGTTATTTTCTAACGAAATCAATTTCTGTATGGACATTAACTAATTCTTCCTGTTTGTACATTAATTCCATCAAACTGATAGAGCATCCGAAGGGATTAACATGATATGCAATTATTATCTGCACTGGTATTAACACACTGCTTAGGTTGTGTTTTCCTAGAAGGTTCCGATGACGAAGGTGAATTTAAAAAACTGTGCACCTTTAGATCGACGGAAAATGATTTAAAACGTGATTCAAATAATTTGACAGAAGAAAATATTCATTTAGCCAACGTTGATTCAATACATCGGATGAAGTTTAACGAATTAGTACCTCAAGGACACGAAAAAAAGTCATTCATTATAAATTCGCGCCATAATTTTTGTTGTCTTAAAAATTCAATAAATTATCATCGAAGGTTGCTCAGTTACACAGAAAAAAATAGTTATAAACATCCAGGTAGCGAACAATTTCGAGAAACAGGTGCTGGATTGCGTAAAAAGAAACAAAAAATTTTTCCGAAGGAAGTAGAGAAAACTGACGAAAACCGTAAGTATATAAAATAATACTTATTACTTTATCGTCTTGTTTTAATATCAGTACACATTAAAACTAATTTAAACACAGTGTAAATATATATAATATAAATAAAATGTTACAGATAACGTGCAATGGGACGAATGGGGAAATTGGAGTACTTGTAGCGTAACTTGTGGAAGTGGTCGACAAGTTCGATGGCGCCATTGTTCAACCGGAAACTGCATAAAAGGATTAAAGAAAGCACAAATAAAACCTTGTCGATTAAACGATTGTAATTCTAAAAATATTCTTCACTGGCTCGGAATTTAAATCTCAACAATAAATTTATTAATTTCACAAATAACCATACACCATTTCACATAACTACAACGGTATAGTTTAACGTTTATCACAATAACAGTTTATGTTAAACGTAACGTGAATTATTTATTTCACAAAGCATCACGTTAAATTCTAGTTGTTTATACTGTATGCACTTCAAATTTTAAATAAATATATATGATTCTGAAATTTATTTTCGTTTTTAGATAAGTTGGCGTTCACTTCGTAAATTACAATCGAATCTATCGAATCAAACTTCATTCAGTTGGAAGTTACGTGAAGTTAGAATTAAAAAAGACAACCGGTGGTGCAAATGCTATATGAATTTAAAAAAACGTTTGTTAAATTATTAGTAATTGGACTCGTTATTACGGAATGTTTAATACTTTTGGAGCGTATCAGTGTTTTAAGTAGTAATCTGCCGTTTTCTTCGTATCGAAAAACAGCTTCTACATTTAAAGTGGAATATGTTCCAAAGGAAAGTTTGCAACATGTGGAACAGTCGTTTAAAGCAGCGAACGGTTACGAAAACGATAAAAATGTAAGAAGTGAGGAAACTGAGGAAAATGGTATGTAAAACCAAAAAATTATAAAATCATCAAATAATTAGTTTTATACTTTAACAATAAATAATATAAATGCATGGCGAAGCATATAAATATTGAAACATATCAAAATATTTAACAGTTAATATAGTTATAATCGATCAATAAATTTAAGTAAATATATCATTCATAATCATTTGTCTTTTTTTAAAGACATTCTGGAGTACTAAAACTAATCAGTTTTTTATAACTCATGTACTAAATATTGAAAATTACATATATGTATAATGTACAAAATCTGTTTCGTAATTTTGTTGAATCTTTAAAGACTGTTATCTGATACACAAATATTGTGATGGTAGGTAGAATGAGTAGACAAGGACCAAAAATATGGGATCAATGGGGGAAGTGGTCTAGTTGTAGTGTCACTTGTGGAATAGGAAAAATAGCAAGATGGAGGCACTGTATAGATGGAAGTTGTTTTGTAGGTGAAAAGAAAGCACAATTAAAGACCTGTACACTTGCTGCATGCTAATCATTTGTCCTAATTGCAATTTCTGGTAAATTGATAATATAAATGAACAAAATACTTATAAGCTGGATAATGGTAACTATTTTGCAGTTACACAGCAATTTCGTATGCAACATATTTTGCATCTCAATCCTGAAAATAATCACAATTAAACTTGCTAGCATATTTTCATTCCATACCTAAAATAAAATATTAATTTACCCAATACGGCTTGTTCTTAAAATATTTAAAATTTCTTTTCAATGTGCAATACATTTTCATCTTTGAGATTAATTAACAAAGGTAATAAATTACATTTTATAAATAAAAAGTGTATCTTTTAATCGCTGCTAAAGTAATCATTTGCTCTATAAATTGTTGGTGCTTCGTATATGGGTACTTTATTAGGTAGCACAGGTTCTTGATTTTTTTTCTGAAACACAATGTAGTCCACATAAGTATTCCGCAGAAATTATAAACATAATTGTTACTTACAAAGAAGGATAAAGGATTTAACATTCCAAATAGTCTATCAGAAATTCCTAATTCGGCTTCTGCATTATCAACAGCAGCTTCTAAAGTAGTTAGATTTACATTAGCCATTGCTATAACATGTTCTAGGGCATCAATTCGTCTGCATAGATTTATAACTTCTTGTTGTGCATCTTCCAACCTTGGAATGTGTTGATCAATACATTGCGAACTTTCAGATTGAACCTTTCAACACAAAACATAATAAATACTTTATATATTCGATGAAAACATAAAATCGACATCAATTATAATTTCTAACCATTTCGATAATAGACTGAAATTCTTCTAAGCGCATCATTACATCTTCGATCGTATCGTGGAAACTTTTCATCTGTAATTTAATTTTGTATTAATTTATATATTCTACGATATACTGATTATTAATATCGTTTGCTAGACATGCGTATAGGTTATGTAAAATATAATACTTACTTGATTGCTTAAATCTAATTTTGCATAATTTGCATAGTCCTTGGCTAATTCCTCGGCTATTGTAGCAATATGCGAAGACATTTTTAGTTTCTTATGAGGATTTATACGAGCGATAAAAAATTGTTTACATAGCTTGCCATCAAACAGACACTTTCAAACGTCCAAGACGCCATTTTCTTATGACAGCTTAAAATAAAAATCCGTATCACAGATTTTATCGATCGAATTACAGATCAGAAGCTGTTTATCTTTTATTCGTTATTACTTAGATAAATATTTTATCCCTATCGTTTTACATAATTTTCATCGGGCGTTGGCAAAGTTATCAAGCGAGTGACTATAATGTTTTTCTTGAGCAGCTTTTCTAAATTGCAATGTTTTGTAATGTAAATGTGTTTCGAAAGTAATTGTTCGAGTTATGTCGTAGATACGTTTATGATTTACAAGTATTGAGATAGATTGTGAGACATTTGAGTAATTACGTATTGTTGCCCCTTTAACACGGCCAATGGCAGATTTAAAAAATATAGATAGAAATTTTCGGAAAGAACTGAACGGTTTATATAGAAAGGTCAACGGACTCTAGTGTACATCGACTTTACGTAATGTTTTGCGTAACTAGAGAACTACGAGTGCACGTTTAGCGAAAGGAGTAAATATAATATTGTTGTCTGACGGAAACGTTTCAGAAAATGTTAAAATATGGCGACAGTAACCGTATTAATCCTATTATGTAGCAACCTTTCACGAAACTGTTGCTACGTGATACAATGTTCATGAACTCTGTAGAGAACAAAAGTTTCTTTTATATCTCGTACGGTGTAAAGTGGAATCAATAATCTAGATCTATACGTATCGATTTTTTGCTATCGATAATTGCCTAACTTGTATTTCCTCGAGCAGAGAATGTAAAACGTAGAGTAGTTTACATAGGTGAAAGATTGCTCGTATTATATACAATTGTATGTTGTTGTAAAAAAGTCCTTCAAATTTATAGCGCAACAGTGATTATCGAACGTTTGCGACATAAGGTGTTACGCGATTATTATAGAAAGTGGTAATAATTTAATGATACAATTTAATGTTGATTTCGAATTGGTTGACTCTGCGACATGCACGAAGAGATACAAATGTTTGCCCATCGTAATGTTCATACGCATAAATCTTAGTTGTCTGAGCATTTCGCAATGATAATACGTCGAATTGTATATTCACTGCTAACGATGGTTTACAAATTCCAGTAATAGCGAAATGTGATGACATTTACAAGATTTATAATTTTCATACAAACGACACCCCGTACTGTGCAAAATGACAAATATTATATTTAATTCTCACTATCTTATCGATGTTATCAAAAACTCATGTACCATTTCTTTGATATCTATTTCGATATTGAAACTGCATGTTAAAATATTGATAAAGCGTGATAGTATGGTATCATTGGTAAGTAGTATGCGGACAATGTTGAGTAATGTTTGCGTAGTCGTAAATTTTTCGAAGCCTGACCCGATATGACTGGCAATTTTTACTAGGACTGATCTTTCTTTCCCTATATACAGTCCTGGACAAAATTATAAGGCATATCATTAAAGTACCATCTTTAATTTTTTAGAGTTAGGTTACATTTTGTTTACTTTCGGAAAATAGTGAAATGTTGATACAAGCTTATCATCGATCGCAAACGAAAACGACGAATACGCAAAGAAGGATAACAAGAGTGCCTTTCACTTGTTTCTCCACGGATTATGGAACATATCATGTATTGCAATACAATATGTTTGTTAACAAACGTTAAGGGTACAGAATTCGCTTGTTAGGTTTCGAAATTATTACTTTACTTCACCCAGAATAGAAAGCAAAATTCCGCTCGCATGTTCTCCCTTATCTCAAAAACCGAACATTAGTAGCAGATTCGATACTGGAATAATTGTTTTTATGTGCAAGAGGTATAATTAACATTAGCCACTTCTCTCTTATCTACTACGAACTGATGCAGTTGTTAATTATTTCATAATGCATTTTCGGTTACGTAAATCGAATTAGAAATAAAGTTAGCTTATATGTATCCGCTTTCTATTAACGTACTTCGTTTATACGGGTTAATCCTTCGAGCTCCGCGTAAGCGAAACAAAGAACTGTATCACGAGCGTATGTACGAGAAGCAAAACGAAATCACAGAGTGCAATAAGGCGCGAGAGCGACAGTAACAAGTTTTCGGGAATTCGATCATTTAGCAATAAGACGATGGAGGTCCACGGTTGAGAGAAAGTGGTAGAGTTTAGTTCTGGTAGCTCGTGTTAAGCAGGTCTAGGCCAATATTTTTTTCACTATCTTGCCGTAAAGTGTTGCGATACCTTGATATAAAGATGACGGATATTTCTACTTTAGCAAATAAAATGTCAAATTTCGAAAGTCGTACTTCATTCGATCGTGCTTTATTGAAATTGTTTATTGAAATAACAAACGATTTAAATAATCTATTAGAAATAATATTGTGTAATTATTATAATTGTGAGTTAATTTGTTCAGTGATATATGTAAAAGCTAACAGTTTAAACGAATTATCATACAACATCAGCTTCATTTATTGAATGGCACTTGCAGCTTATGCAAGTTAATACGTGGCAACAGGTTTTTTGCATTGCTGTTTACCGGTAGCGAGAAGCTTCATTTATGGTCGGATAATTCGCGTCTAAATCAAGCCATTTTATCTTCCCGAAAATTTAATTAAATGCCCCGATAACCTTCAACCTTTAGAGGACCGAAAAAGCCATCATATGGCTTTAGGTTTGAATTTATACAAAAATTGGTATCACGAGGTTCAATAAAATTATTTTATTTCACCTTTGATATTTGACATTTCCATTATAATGGCTTTATATAATATTTACGTTTTATATCTGTGGTGCGAAATCTACATGATGTCACTGAATAATGATCGATCCTATAAAGGTGAAACGGAACGCTTTAAATGTGTACGACTACCTGGTCCTTTGATCGAGCTTCTGAAGTAAATTTGGTCATGCATGGATCGAAATGAATAAACCTGTAGATTTGATTTTTAGATTGCCAACGAAAAATGTCTTACATGCCGCGGAAAATCAATACGAACCGGTTTTGGCATTTCAGCGTTACAAGCACATTACGAAATGCAAATAGAAATAACGGTTAGGTGGAAGATTATCCTGCATTAGCCAGGTTTCCAGCAAATAAAGGTCCTTTAAGAAATCAAAAGTGTAATATTGTCGAACTTCCTTTGGTGCTCGATATACAGAGCTTAACGAAGGTTAATAACAGTAACAGCAGAGGATGATGATCGTTGGTGATACCGAGGTCATGGAACCTTTGGGCTGGAATATAGTTGACGAGTGAATCCTTTGTATTGACTGTTGACTTAGATACATAGATTTTTTCGAAATGGTACTTTGGCGTACGTGCCCTTCTTCCGTTCAATACCTGGATTGTAACGGAAATAGGAATAGTGGCGAGTCACGGTTCGACGGATCGGGCGATGAAGATCATATTGGAAAAAAAATAGCGAGGAAAAGAGAAACAGCAAGCAAGTCGTCCAATTGGACACAGGTGGGGAGGCAACGTTGGCTACAATTCTCTCCACGGAGTACGTCGGAGCTCAGTGAGTTCGAGCGTGCGGTTCACGACTCTTTCTCTTATTCAGCTACTACGAGCGGATTCGTGCTGCGGTTGCAACTGCTTCACCACGCCGACAGCTTACAGGATTTTATTTCATTTTACCGGACTAATACGTCAGGTAAGCATAATTTTCTCATGTTAATTTCTCCTACCTCCCAACATTTAACACTATTTCGATCGAGACTGTCAGAAGACCACCTTTGAAATTTTTACTTGAAACTGTTCTCTAAGTTCGATCCTCGTACCGATGGCTAATCATTTTTCCTCGATAACATGATATGAAGATTAACATAGTTTACGTTGACAGATAGAAATAGTGTTAAATACCCCACAGTACGAAATATCCAATAGTTCAGTGTTTTCACGAACACTGTCACTAAAAATATCAACAATAATAAAGGTAATAATGTGAATAAAGTATGCACCATGTTAAATTAGAAACAGACAGGTTTCGTGTAGAAATTAGAAGTCGCGTGGAAGCACTTTATTTCGATACGTTTATTATTTATTAACGCGTTACTGACCTAACCGAACAACCGTTGGTTAAGATTTCAAGAGTCTTACTGCTGTCTAATTATTTGACATATTGTAATTAGCACGCAGATGGTAGTTGAAGTAAGAAGCAGACAGAACAACTTTTCTAGTTGGTTTGTGTTAATCATTTGTCTCCCATTTCTACTCCTACTCCCCCATCGCCTTGCGTTCGAAAAATCAATTATGAACTTGGTAGACAATTTAGGGCAAGCTCGTAAGCACACTTTATTCGGTTGTAACATTAATATTACACAAGATTGCAATATACTAGTTTAAATGAATTTGATAATATGGGCGCACGTACTTGCCTTTAATTGGCTCGATTTCATTGCGAAACGTATATTTTTAATAATTGTGGTTGTTCCACTATGACCCGTATACACGTCAATTTTCAAAAATTAACAAATTAACGTCACAGAGAATAATTACTTTATTGTCGACAGAGTAACGTAATAATGATGTAGCGAAATAACTACTTCAGGATTTAACCTATTTGCATCACGATTCTACCTATCCCACTGAGTTACGCCAAATATTCCGCTTACGGATGCAAATGATTAAGTATTCCTGGTTGCTTCGCAGGAAGATAAGATAACCTTTATATATGTCGATGTCTTTTTACCAAAATGTTGTTTATAGTCCTGACATTTCGCCAAGAATTCTTGAACACTCCTTGCAAGCAGCGAGGAGCACAACGACACTGGAGACCAACATTCAACAATTTCTGGCATAATATTCTATCAGCGCGTTACATAAGCTTAACCGGTTACTTGCATAGCCATGATCGATAAATACTTTCCACGTTGAAATCGTTTATTCGAGAAAGTGATTCATTTACCTTCGCGAAGCGTTGATAAATTCCCGGTAGTACATTTGAAATATACTGTCAGAGTTCAAAATGTCAATACACGACGTGCTTATAAATTTAACACGCGTCCGTAAAGCCTCTTTGTTCGTTGTAAAAATGGTATGCGGCGACTTCTTGGGCTTATGTAGTCCCCGCGAACTTAATAGTCTCCAGTCTCGTTAAGACTTTTAACCTGCTCCGCGTTCTTTCACCGGAGTGTAGAAACAAAGTAGTTAACGTCTTACGTAATCAAAATGGGAAGGGAAGAGCCTAACCTGCCACTTTCTGATTTTAATAAACTTTCGCGAGTCGCCGGTATGTAGATTCTTAGTGCTATATCTAATGTACAATATGTACATTACAGTTATGTACAATCTAACTAACGATATGCGTGTGCAAACAAAAATATTGTATTAGTTTACATTCTGAAAGGTACGTCCGGGCACGAACAAACACTTATCGTTTGGCATGAACGACACCATGTGCACGAACGAAAGTGTTCGATTGTTTGTTGATAAGTCAAAAGATAATCTAAGATCGAGCAAATTCTGCTAGGCGAGTTACTAAAAGTGACGATGCATCGTCTGTGTATCGGCTTTGAATAATATTGGTCATCCAACATCCGCGTTTTTTTTCTTCGTTACATCGTTTGATATAATCAAACACGGACCTTGTTATAATTATGTTTTTTTCGTTGTCTCCGCATGGTATTTAGTTGCACAATTATAGAGAATTACTGTAAATGATGCTGGAAACAAACGAAATAATGTGTAATCATCGTCGAACTAATAGTTCGTTCTATTTATTTTGACATTACGTCACCAATCGAAGGTTAATATTACTTGGAATTAAATTAGTAATGGTGGTATTGGTAAACGTAGGATGACCAGTGTCTTTTTGTTACCTCGACGTCTGCACGAATCTCGTTTATTAAAAATCTAACGTTGAAATTGCCCGTTTAATATCTGGACAGGCCCGACGACCTTGCTACAAGAACTGAAACCAGACGAAAATCAATCATGGAGTTTGAATTTTAAATTACCCGTACGTTTCCATTATTTATTAGCACTTTCGTTTTGCTACGGTCGAAGCGTAATTTGTGTTTCCATGAGTGACTAAATAATAATTTATTAATCTCAACTGATAGCGGATCTTAATGAAAAATTATGCTATTATAACGTGATCGCAATAGTTACTCAATTCGAGTGCACAAAGAGTTGTACTGTTATCACCGTTGAATCGCCACAGGCGATCGAAACTCGTCCGGTATTGAAACACGTGTTTACGGTAAATACGAGACCCCTAATTTCTCGAGGAATGCAATTACGTTTGAACTTTTATATTTTCCTATCGATGTTTCTACGCGTGACGTTACATTTCTTTCGTTTATCACAAAGCATATAAAATGCACCATCATTTTTGTTGTTGCCCAGAAACTTGAATATTTCTTACGTCGATGTATTATCTACCAAGTCTACTTCTTCCATAATTTTCGTAGCGTCCAGTTCTAATCCTAAACAAACAATTACTCCAAAATTCAGTTAGGTCGTAACTTGTAACTCCTTCCGTGTAGCAAGTGACAATCAAACATTGTTTCTTTCGTGTTATCGCATCGTAGAATGTAAATCTCGGCAAAACAGTGTTTCACGCATATCAATTAAGTGTACACGACTAAACGAGTCGCTGAAATGCTCGAAACGCGTAAAACCGACGTGTTTGGTTTGCGCTGTTGCTCGTTCGTAAGGACTTTGGTAACATGGAACTGTCGAACGTCATAAAACTATTACTCCATCGCGAAGGATGAATTATTTGTAGAGATAATAAAATATTTTTACACGGTCTTGAATATATTCTTGAAGTCTTATTGCCTTAAAATTGCTCTTGCAAACCGTGACGCTTTCTTTTTTAAATATATACCTGTAGGAATCATTTTGTGACTCACTGTAAATGTTGAAACAAGAGGGAACAATTGGATCGACGGCCCACGGTCTTTCCAATATCCGTCGTGGCATTTGTTCGATCTATCGTAATGCAAACTCAACTCTGTCGCCGGATAATTAATCGAATAACCGTTCACTGAACCGAGAAATGTTTCATTGGTCGTTAATCGATCGAGCAAGTCGTTGCACCAATGTTCCAGCGAATCAGAAACGATGCATTGTTGGCTTGCTCGGATGCTGAGTAAATCCAAGATTGTTCGCGAAGTAACGCTAACTTTCCAAGCCGCGTTCAAGTTGGTAAACGAGATTTCGCGTCGTTCTATGCCTGAATAGTTAATTGCGAAAACGGGAACGAGTTTGCTGCTCTTTAAAATTGAAAAACACCGTCGATTGAATTTCCTTGCCTGCAACGTATAGCGTGCGTGTATAAATCGTCGCGTTGCGAGTGAATTACTACTATGGATCTCGAGAGTGTATGCTCTTGACCCAGTAAAGATGCACCAAGGACGCTGGACCGAAAAAACCGGGTACACATGTGTTTATTAGCGAGTCTGCAATTCAAGTTTTTATCCTCCTCAGACTTTGGACAAACGAATATGCCGAAATTTATAACGGATAAACGATCGAGCGATTGTGAAAGATTTATGTATGTTAGAAAAACGTCTGGGATTTCTTCGAGAAGTTGCGTGTCGAAGTCAGGCGGAGCAATCGTAACTCGATTAAGAAATTATTTACGTCCGTAGAGAAATAGGCGGGCTTTCACCCAGGTGAAATAGCATACTTCAAAAAGTAGAGACGGACGGTCCGTCGCGTAAAAAAAAAGTGAATCGTAAGCTTCGTGTAATTATTTTGTAGAACACGAAGTTATTACGTTTCTCATTATCTTAGATTAGATCAGGTTTACATTCCATCCGCGTGGAAACCTAGTTTCTATAACAACACGAGAATTCCTGGAATCCCGCTGATGCAGTTATGCAAGTTGCAAATTTTTGTTTTAAGTAAATTTTGCTTTGATCGACCTTGTATCGACTTTCTCTTTGACTGCGATACTTGAGATATGTTACAAGATTCTCGATAATCGGGAATTTTCTGTTGTCCTTAGAGTTTCGACAGAGCAAAAGGGAACAAAGAAACAGTAAGGTCAGCGAAGAGAAAAATAAAATTCCAGTTTAACGAGATAGGGACGATATTACAGAGAGAGACTTTAATATGACGGTTAACCTTGATATTTCGATGGGAACGGATTTACCAATCGGACTTAAATTCGTGTCAATGTCAAACAAATGTAAAATCGGTAATTTTGTTTATTCAAGGTGCGCGAGATTAAAAACAACGTGCCCTTTAAACGTCTATGATATGAAAATCCCAGGAAACGAAAGAGTACTAGCTTTTTAAGTCGAGAATACGATGTTAGAGAATGCTCATTGGCATTGAAAGTGACATAAGCGACGTTTCGCACCCGTTTGTTACAGGTTATCAAACATGAGTGAGTTATCCGAAATACAATCCTTTTATAAAGGGAAAACTGTTTTTTTAACCGGAGGAACCGGTTTCATGGGGAAAGTACTCATTGAGAAGCTACTTTATTCCTGTAGCGAATTAAACAAAATTTATATTTTGATAAGATCGAAAAGAGGTCGATCGCCCGAAAGTCGTATCGAAGACATGTTCAAACTACCGGTGAGTATGAATTCTTTTATACGTTTACAGTATACTAACAGTTTGCGAATGTCGATAATCGTATTTAGTAATGGAAGTTGAAATATTTAATAGCTCTTACACGTTAATATTTAATTTATAATAATGTGTTGGATTTGTAATTTGCATTCGTTGTTTCCTCGATTTTTTGACACCTTTGCATTCGGATGCAAGTAACTATGGACGATAATTATGAATTAAACTTAAATGATAATTTCAAAAGGTTCAACATTAAAGCGATTCTTTCAGTCGGGAACGATTAAGTTAGTAGACACGTCGTTGGGAAGTAATTTAACGAAAAACAACGTTAAGTCGTTTTGTTCGAAGCATTAATTCCGATGGGGTGCTTGTTCGGACAGTTGTTTAGAAGGTTAAGAGAACAGAAACCGCACTTGATGACGAAGCTGGTACCGTTGTACGGAGACGTTAACTCGGATGCATTGGGGTTGACCAATGAACAGCTAGAATTGGTGATATCGGAAGTCAATCTAGTGTTTCATTGCGCGGCGACGCTTAGATTAGAAGCAAAGTTGAAGGACGCTATCGAAATGAACACGGTAAGGCAGTGCATTTACATTTCATGGTCTCGTACACACAAACGTATTTACATATTTAAATTCTTCTCGAGTATAAACATGAAAATAGTTTTTATTCCACGATGGCATTGGTGGATAAAATTATAAAACGGCCCTTTAATTTCGAGCAGTTTCAATGGTTCTTGCAATCGGTCGTGTAATTAAGAAACACCGAACGGGAACTGTTGTAGGTCGGAACGAAAAGAGTGTTAGATTTGTGCAAAAAGATGAAGCATTTGGAGGCATTCGTGTACCTGAGTACGGCTTTCTGCTACCCGGAGCAGCAGGAACTCGGTGAAAGAGTGTACGACGCCCCCGACGATCCCGAAGATGTTATGAGGCTGGTACAATGGTTAGACGGAAGTGCCATCGAACTCATCACGCCCAAGTAAATTGATATTACCATAACAGCGTGTTTCACGAAACTGGGTCCGGCCGTGCAACTTTTAGGCCTTTATTTAAGTTAATAACGCCGTTTGCGTTTTGATTTACGACGTGTTTACTTAAAGTTATGCAAAAGAATGCGGTAGCTCGAGATTTCTGGGAATTTTTCCGACTTATTCGTAATTCGTAATGAGCCGTATTCAGATTCACTTTTCTAAACGGGCGATTCTAGCAACCGGGTAACAGCTTTGTTCCCAGCGAAGATAGAAGTTTGAGATTCTTCTTCTTCTCAAATTTAGGTTACTGAATGTTCATCCGAATACTTACACGTATTCTAAACGATTGGCTGAAAAACTGGTATGCGACGAATATCCCAACCTACCATGTTGTATCGCCAGGCCATCGATCGGTGAGCATATTTAATAACCATTTATCTTAATAATACGTAAATGCTCTATGTTATTGTGTGTACAGTAACTGGAGCCTGGGCTGAACCGCTGCCAGGATGGGTCGACAATCTGAACGGTCCAGTGGGACTCTTGGTGGGTGCAGGGAAAGGTGTGATTAGGTCGATGCACTGTAATGCTAATTATCACGCCGAAGTCATTCCAGTCGATTTAGCTATCAACGCATTAATCGCTATTGCTTACACCACAGCTACCACGGAAAAGTAAGTTGTATCTCCTTTATATTTCGAACAATGTATTTCGATACAAACTTTCGTCTTTGTCGGTGTAAATAAAAGTAGTAAAAGTGAAATGTCAGTGAACGTATGCACTTACTGGCGAATGCTTACCTTCGCGACTGCACTTAATGGAAAGTGTATTGTATACTTTCACTTCGTGTCGTTAACGAATGTTGCTCAGTTTGAACGTTATCATATATTATGCTTTAATCGGCCCTGTTAGATCAAAACATATACCGGTGTACAATATCACTCAAAGTGGCGAGGTGCCCATCACTTGGGGTGAAATTTTGGAAAAGGGTAAGAAGGTCGCTTACAAGTATCCGTTCGAAGGTCAAGTTTGGTACCCGTGCGGCGACATACATAGCAGCAAATTTGTCCACAATCTCTACGTCTTTTTCTTCCACATACTTCCGGCTTACTTCATCGACTTTCTCATGTTGATATTCCAGCAAAAGAGATTGTGAGTTTCGTCGCGTTAGCACCTTTTGTTTCGTGGAGCAGGTGAACGTTCACGTGGATCGTTATCTGTTTAGCATGGTTCGCATTCAGAAACGCATCTCGGTCGGCCTCGAAGTGTTGCAGTACTTTACGACAAGGGAATGGGTTTTCCATAATAAGAATCTCTTATCGATGTCCAAAAGCATGAGTCGCAAAGATCAGGCGATCTTCTGTATTGCTTTCACAGACATCGAACATATGGAATATTTAACGAATTGCGTGCTAGGTGCACGGCAATACTGTATGAAGGAAGATTTGTCTACTTTGCCGAAAGCTCGTAGGCATCAAGCAATGTACGTAATTAGAGCAGATGGTTACAACTCAATGTTTCATCTCATCGCATTTGAGGCCCACTAGCACGTTTTAACAATATAACGTATCTCTTTTGCAGAATGTACGCTGTACACATAATTAGTGTATACTTGTTCTATTACGGGGTGTTATGTTTCATGTACAAGCACTTCGCGATAGTTAGATTTTGTCTGGATTTCGTCACTGATTATGCGAAGTCTCTGATTGCTTTGGGCGGAGCCAGCTAAAAAATGCACCGGTGAAACGAATAGAAATTGTGTACAGGTAAGAATGTTTTTATACTAATAATTCAACGTTGCGACGTTCTTGTAAAAAATGTTGTTGCTTGCGGAGGTTATGATACGTAAGGAGGTTTAAGAGATTGGGCTAAGGATAAGCTTTGTAACAGACCAAGAATCTCTTTCTACGGAGAAATTTAGTTCCCTCGTAGCTCTCTTGTTCAAATTATAATAAATATAACCTTCCCTTTAAAGAAACATAAATATTATAGATTATAGATAATGTACGTATCTGTGTACAGTCCATAACTGAAACGTACGCGATTAAGTATTAAAATTTGAGATGAATTAAAAATTCTCTGAAGCTCGAAAAAGTTTACGTGAATTTTACCTGAGATAATTGCCGTCCAGAATTTCTCTAACAATTAAGAAATAAATATAACAATTAGAATCTAAATATAGATATATTACGCGTACAAAAATTAATTTTAATATCGGATGCTCCTAAGAATAGATGACGTACTTAAGCTTTAATATTTTTATTTAAACTTTCAATTATGACATTAGGTGTATGGAAGATTAGGAGGTTTGGATTTATTTTATAAGGTAAATTATACGAGTAATTAAGATTTTGTGTCTCGATATAACATTTATACTATAAATAATTTCAAGCGTTGTATATTTGTTTGACACCGATTATATTGTTGTGATATGTAAATGAATACATTTATGGAAATAAAAGTAGAATTGTTCGATCCGAACCTTTCCTACACATTCTTTTCATTAATATTGTTTCTGTTTGGTCCGTAGAATATATCAGATCCAATTCCATTTTAGTTCATCATTTTACCGCATGTTTATCGTAAACTTCTGTAACAATTATTAAATTTAATATACAGAGTGGTATTAATGGCGGTGGTAATTAAATACACAGTATTTCGAACTATGAAATATTTTCGAACTGTTGTATCGAACAAAATTGGGTGGATTCTCGTAGGCCAAGGAAAGGTGTTTATTTTCCTGAACGTTCTCAGGGACTATTCGATATAATATCGTAACGTAAAGCTCGTCGAGGTATTTTCTTAAAGTATCGTACCCTACATGGAACGGAACCGTAAAACGAACGATATACCATGGCTTCTATGATGTGATCGATACGAGACACTGTGTGTTCTTTTCGTCAGCAATAATTCGAATATTTCATAGGGAATATAAAGTCTCGTCAAAATTGAGAGTCGTCGTCGATCCGACTGTCTTTTACTTGTCACTTAGACGGAATCGTAAGAAAAAGTTTGTTTAATCTTGACGGACTTGTAATTTAAATTCGCGTTAAAGTTCGTTCGAAACGTTATTGAAATTCACATGCCGCGAGAGGAGATAGCAGACATTTGCGAGCTGAATATTTCACTTACTCTGTTCAAAAATTCCATTATTATTTCCGGCGACTCAGCATTTTCGTGATATTAGAATTCGTTTTCTCTGCGCCGTGCTGTATAAATATGCACACAGTTAAAACAAATATATACACGGGTTTGTACACAGACAGAATTGTCTGACTAAGGAGATGACATCTCGAGTTCCACGTTCACTGTTTCTCGCAATGATTTAATGAAAATGGATATCCACCTGCGGAAGGATGTTGTGCAAGATGCTGTACCGATATGATGGAAAATGAAGATCCAGGAAAAGCAAGATTAGTCGATACTCAGCTTGTTTCTCTTTATAATTTCATCGTATGAAAAGGAAGCTTAAAAGAAATTTGAAGATAATTGACACTTAACAATTTATGTGAAATTTGAAAAGAGGACACATTTGGATTCATATTTAGATTATTATCATTATTTTTATTGTGGGAATAATTGTACAGAGTGTCGATGAAAGTGAAAGATCTGATGGCGCATTTAAAAACGCAGTAGATCGGAAGATCAAGAATTTTCCAAGGAGTGAGTTGCAGCAATGAGAGGTTTATTTTCCGATACGTAGGAAACGAAGCCTGAAATTTCCAAATATGGCGATACAGAGAAGAAATAGATGATCGTGAACGGACGGGATGGACATTAGTGGAACGATACGAAAGATTAATATGGATGAGATTGACAAGATTAGAAGGAGAACTGAAATGAAAGGATTTGTAAATGAGGTAGCAGCGGAGAAAGATCCATCTCTGTTTCGTGTTGACTCGACATTCCCTCTTTTGAAAGAGGGAAGAGATACGATCATATTTACGAGCACTCTAAGTGAATCGGAGACGGAAATTTTGAACCTGGTGTACACAAGAGACGAGACTAGAGTCAAGATAATTAATGAAAAAATTTGAATAAAGATATCGACTACAGTTTGACACCTGACGATCAAGTTTAATAGGTTGTGAAAGATAATAATTGAAGAACTAAATCATAAACAGTGTCTTCTTCTCCTTCTTTGAGACGTGCCTAATCATTCATCTAAGAAATTTAATCTAGTCACTCATCGAAAAAGAGTGAGATTGGATAAATTAATTATGCCCGTGTTTGATGAATGGATCTAACAACGAAAAAAGCAACAGTTGTTAGTTCCAAATCGTGTGATACGATGGCGCTGAGAAATTTCAGACCTAACTTCTATTCCATTATTGATCTACCCGCTCACATCCCAAGAACCTCCCCCCAAGAACTTCCCAAAGAAGTTTCAAAGTTGACGGTTGTATCTGATTTTCCTTATAATCTCCTGCTCCACTTTTTCAGTATTTTTTCTGCGAACATATTTAGATTGTGATCTATCGTCCCTCTCCTGGAGTAGGCGTATGAAAGATACGAGGGTTGATTGATAACTATGGCCTCCAACAACGCTATTATGCGGATAATTGGGGTATAAACAGATTTTAAGTGTTTCATCTAAAAGTACGAACTTTCAGTTTCTTTTATAGCTTCTTTGCATATTCCAAAGCACTTTAAGTTACCACATTACATATTAATGTAAGGGTAATAGTTTTCGTAAGCTAATAACGTCGATAATCGGAATGGAAATCAATCGCGAAGTTTTTAAATTTATAAGTCCAGATATCTGTGGTTTATTTTAAGCTTGATAAGATTATCAGCTCGGTATTTATCGTTTCCGATTCTCCATCGAATTGCTCTTCAGGATCCATTGAAGTTTTCTAAAACATTTTACATGTATTTTTCGCCAGTTAATTAATAGCTCATCAGTATTTTTAGTTCTTCGTGTTAAATTATATCGAAGATATGAGAATTTAAAGTGCAGGAGTCAAGTATTTGAATAATATTCAACGTTCACTCTCCAGAAATTGGCAATTCAAATATCGTACAAGAATATATGTTACATATTCTTCTGTGGAATAAAATTCCTGCTACCATTTCCGCATTTTACGACATAACGCTGAAGTAATCCACGAAACATTGAAACGTTATTCGAAATAATAATACATCCGAGCGTGTTATGATTTTTGTAATTGCAATTGCATTTCTGTTAAGAAATACGCTTAGTTTAATCCCTACTTGCTTGCCTGCTTCCTTTTTCGTAGCGTGACAGCACCTTGACATAACAGCTTGTCACTTTTCACGTAATATTTGAATTCGACAGGAGGGCAAATAAAACCTGTAATTTTACAACTGAGCAACTCGGGTAAAGCAATTTCGCCGAGTTGATTGGTATTTATCGTTCAATTCGCATTAGAAATTAATTGAGGTGCAAATAATTGGTTTATGTAAATAGGAAAGCTACAATTTACTTTAAGTAGACATTAAAAGATATTATATTAAAAGACATTAAAAGATAAAAGAGTTCTCATCAAATATCGATTATTGTAACTTTAGAAAATATTTATATTCTTTTCAACCGTTTCTTCGATAAGTTTGTTTACTTTTCAGATATAATAACCGACCTCGCTATGTTTAGCAATTACGTTTCTCGATGCAGAATTTATTTAATTTTAGTTTTAGAGGCAGCCTCCTTGTTTGGCTATGTGATTACCTCAGAAATCGACGTCAAGCTGTTAAGATACGAGATCATCTATCTCGCAAGGTCACAGAATCATCGGGCGTTCTTCAAGGTTCTTACCTTGGCTCACAACTCCTTTTACGAACGACTTACTCAATATTTCTTTTCGAGATCAAATCTCTGCCCAATGCTGATATTCTCGTATCGTTTAATACTGGACTTCTGTATATTACAATAAAAATTTTTTATCGATAGCGATACTGCCCCTCTGTTGTATCGAATAACATCCGGCAAAGTAAAATCCACACAGTTTCAAAATACCATATAACTCATTAATTCGCTCACTTAGAATATGAGAGCGTTATCTGGTCACGACATCGCATTAACCGACGTACAATTAGGAAGGCACAGCACGAGTTGTTTTACAGCTCGAACGTTTCGGTCGATGGACAAATTTAACCACGCGTGTTATACAATAAGCCTCACCGCGGCAATTTTTAGTTCACGAAAGATGACAAGAATTACGTCTTCTAAAGAAACATTAAAACAATCGGTTACGCGCGAGCGAATACAGCTGTTAATTAAAATTTTCATTTCTTCGAACGTGTGCCCCTGTCCACAGCTGCTTTCCGACCGTGATCGAATATTGATGTGTCAATATAAATTCTGGTAGGTACGCAGCTATTTAAAATTGCATTTTGCACGAAAGAAAACATAATAGAAGTCGAAGGAAATTACGTTTCCTGTACCTGTGGCCAAGAGCATCTTCTTCGAGAAGCGTCGAAAACATATTTAGCCGTTTTCACCACCGAGAGCGTTACTTTCCAGCTCGTTTGTGCGTACTTAGGGTATTAGTTCACTACACCTGGTCATTTACTCGGAGTACCGTGCAACTCGAGTAACGGTACGGTGTAACGCTATGGAGTCTAGCGTGAGAGGAAGTCGAGGTCGTTCAGCCACGACGGTGTACAATGTGCTCGTCGTGTACAGTGGTTGTTCGAGTAATTTACCAAATAGTATCGAGAGGAAATCCATGATAGGAGGAGACTCAGACCCGGCATACGTGACCGATTACGACGAGAGAATGCAGAGCTATAGGAGCGAGGTTGGACGGCTGTGCCGATGACGCGTGATACGCGTGGCGCGTGCGCCGATTCTCCAGGATGCTAGAACGGGTAGGACGGTCAGGACTCGGGGGTTGTTCGAGGCGCGAACACAATTCAGTCCGAGGCAGCCTATCGCTCGTCTCGTGTGCACGCTCCTCCGCGAGCTCGCCGCTAACACAATTCATCCAGATAATTACTGAAAGTATCTTCCTACCGGAACAATCGTCTTCCGGTCGCACGCGCGTCGACAAGTTCGCCAGTCGAGCATTTTGTTTGGATACCGAGTTCAGACTTCGTACCTCTGTCGAACGACACGAGAAAGTCGCGAGACTTGACTTTCGGTTCCCGTTGCGGGCAAAGATGATCGAGGATCAGGACAACGTCCGCGGTATAACGTACTCCCCCGGAACACGCGTCGCCAACGAATCTTGAATTTATCCGTAGAACCTGCGAAGAACCCGACAAAGAATGGCGCTCGTCGTTATCGTGAAGAACTTTCAAGGACTCAAGTATAAAGGGGAGAAGGTTGTCAAGGTAGATTTCCGGGGTAAGTGTGGAACCGTATCCTTCGATTTGTCTCGCTGGCGGAATCATTGATGAGCGCGAGGACTGAATTTATCACAGATGGAAGCTATTAATAAGCCGTTAAGAATCTATCGAGATTTCGTTAGGCGTAACGATTTATTTCCAAGTTCGGAGCTGCATCGACATCATATTTGGTTTAATGCACTGATAACAAAATAGTCTAGATTTATGAAATTATCAAAATTAGTAGTAGAGCTCTTCACATATTATCGTAATTAAAATTCGTTCAAGTTCAAATTGTATATTAAAATATATATGCTTCGATAAATTTATCGGTCCTCCGTTATCACAGATGATGCATTACAAAATGAATGTTTATTAAAGAATACGTGGCGGTTTAATTTTAATCTTTTAATCGGCTGTCAACATTGTTTTGTCTTCGTTTTAATGTTTTGTTATTCTAGCATCACCAGGGCACACTTTTTGAGTCCTCTGTATCTATTTAATTTTATTCTGTATTTGTATCTGATTCGAAGAGATTTAAAAAAAGAACGGCGTGCTTGGGACCACCAGGACTTTTAAATATTACTGAACTCTCTTTCGTTTGGTTTTTTAATTCTGGAGAAGAAGCGAATCGTCCAAGCCATGCAAAGTTTATCTTAAAAAATCTTTCCTTCGTGCGGTCGCTTTCTTTCCACTTTTCATCCATAATAGCTCTTTCTGCCTCCTTATTAATGTCTCTGATATTAAACTACATATTCAAAAAACAGGAAAATTCTCATTTCAAAGCATTCAATTTTGCGTTTACCTACCTTTCATGATGTTATATAAATAAAAAATAATCTCCTTCCTAAATAAATTAACCGTAATTAATATTTTAATGAGAACGCTCTCTGGGGGAGTTAGATATACAGGAAACAAATAAATTGGGGCCAATTTTAGTTGATTGGTTAACACCAGAGGGCAGAAACAAATTAAATTAGATATATATCTTTTAGAATTATCCATTTTAGTAAAATAACTATCGAAATAATACGGTAACAGAAACTCATTGAAACTTTAAATCAATTATCTGATCGATACATAGAAATAACGCTACATTAGTCGCATAGTTGCGTGTATAATGACCAGAAGTTTTTCGTAATTATATCTTTTACCATTTTTGCTTATAAAAACGCTGGATATCGCTGGACAGCAAACCGTACTTACTACCCTACAATTTTCAGTTATACTTCGTCCCACATTGTCGTTCGTGCAATGTTAACTAGTGCTATCGATTAAAATTAACTCCTCTATAAATAAACGTTTATATCCGGAGTAACTATCTGTTGTAGCTTTATCGCTCATAATCAACGCGAGATTTTTGATATTCAACCTTTACTACCTACTGGGGTCGTATTTAAAAGTTGTACCCTGCGTTAAATATGATGCTTCACGGTCGCGTGCTTCTATTGTTTATTTGTCCACGATACACTCTTCTACGGCATTCGGAGCAAACCGGCTGTCAAGTCAGTTTTATTAAAATTTCCCTGGCGGCCACTCCGAATCTTTTTCATAATTTACTTCGTGAAACGCTGTTTTAGTTTCAGGCCCTTGGACTCCAAAATTTAACATCCCAGAAAAGTTTAAATTCGGTCGAGCAAAGTGCTGTGTACGTGTTCTTCTTATACTATTACCTGTTGAGTATGGTCGCTTGAATATGCGCAACATTGATCTTTTTATTCATTTTTGCGTATAAAAGTATGAATGCCGTGGCTTAAAAGGACAAATGTGATGTCGTGCACGAATGATTCTACACTAATGGAAATTATATCTATTCATAAGTAACGTAAATAAATTCTTTTAAATTGAATTTCCGTCGTTGGGAGTTTCTCTTTTATATTGAATTAATTTCTTTGATCTCTTTTTTGCGAATTAATAATTCAATATAAAAAAAAAAGAGAGACAGTATAACGATGCAACGAAGTAATAATAATAATACAATTTAAGAGAAAATAATCAAAGTCTGAAAGGTAGAAAAGTACGCGAAAATAGGGAGTAATTGATGATTACTGCATGTTTCTGGTACGCGTCCGTGCACGCGTACTTCGTTCCACTGAAATATTAATTTTCGTACGTAGCTACAGCATCCAACCGCGACCATAGTTTAAATCGTAGCGGAATGTGAGTCGAATTAATTAGAAAGCTAAACTATTTTAATACTTGCTCGCGTTCAGATAGAATTCGCATTTGCATTTCAAATGATTACAACCACGAAATGGTACGTGTGTTTCAGATTAGGATAATCTGCTATGGTCCTTTTGAAGACCAATACAGTATAAGTGTCTCCCAAAATTAATCATGGATCGTCGTGGATCAGTCCCGTGCCCTTCTTGATCACAATCGATTACTAGAAACGAGTAAAATGTTAACCAAACGTTTAACGACTCTCGAAGTAAATTTTTTTCTTTTTTAAAAGCGCGCTCTGGAAAAAGTTTAGAATTCATTGGTATAAACTTGGTCTCCATTTCAGTATCACATAGTTTTATTTGAAACAGAAACTGGAAACCAGCTTCAATTTGTACAATGAAATAAAAGCTATAACCATATCTGAAAAGTTCAAAATACATAGTACGAGTACCGGAGTAACTGCTTTTCATTTTTAACGTTTTGTTAACCCAATCGTATCGGGGTGGGAGGATATTAACTTTCTATGGTCTGAAACGAATGTTTTGGCTCTTAGAGGTACTTGATTATATCCTTTCTCTTCTTTTTTTTACTCGTGTATTTTACGTTTTTCTTCAGCACGTGTTCATTTCATTAGTTTAATGTCGCAATATCTTCCTTACTGGGTTTAAAATAAATCAAATTGGAGCAAACGTGTAGTTAAAAGAATTTATTCCCCAATAACCTTGAGCGGTTAAAATATTTGACGTCCACCTTTAATATCGTTCAACATTTCAGCGATTACAGATTTAGCGTACTCAATCTGTACGTACCAATATGTCATCCGTGACATTTGAAGGTTGTTATAATTATTACCTGCAGAATACGTCGAATATTACGGAAGGATTAAATATCGGAATTTTTAATAAATTCGTATTCTTTGAAAATAGAAATCATTTTCAATTTCCCCGCCAACTGCAAACAACTGTAGACATTCGATTAAAGATTGATGCACGACAAGCATGGGTCGTATTTATTCAACGTAATGACGCACGTTAGGTATTTTTCATTCATTTTTTACATACGATCGTACAATATACAGGGTACCAATATCATTACAAAGGTATGCAAACTTGTACTGCTTTGTTCTAAACCAGGGGTATGAGCTGCCTCTTGTTACATATCGTGCAGTGTCTCTTATTTTTCTCCGGTATTTGTTAAACGTCACGTATCATATCGTATCGAACGAAGGAAACAATACAGATATAATTGCTTCAGTCATTGATTTACACTTGAATTGTAGGTGCCACTCGTACGGACTCACGCGAGGTACGATTGATTGACGTTATGCGAATCGCTAACCTGTTTCCATAATATGTCGTTCGTAAAATAATATTGTTCCGCTCTCACACTTACTCGGTCGATTCATAGCATCGGTAAATATCGATACCAATGCATTGTTACACTGTTTAATCAAGGTTCCTAACCGATAAAAAAGCGCCATCCGATATCGCGAAGGATCTCTGAGAAAACAATTTCTAACGTACGGGTTGCTCTGTTTAACAAAAAACTTTTAATTCGTAACATTCGATGAAATGTCAATGTCTAAAAATAAGAAGGATGAACGTTAATCGTTGTACTGGTTAAGAGGAAGGGATCGTTGGCAAAGTAAGCCGTTAAGTCAACGCTGGTTAACACGATCAAACGCAGAGGCGCGACTTGAAATATTTAACGAAGCATAAGTATATGGAGGGTGCAACTGCAAAGGTTATCGATAGGTTAAATGAACCAACGAGCGCTTGTCACCTCGTGGGATCGTGCATATTACGAACATAAAGGGGGCACTCGAACAGGAATGAACGCCAACAGTTAACAGTTAACGTGGATCCACATTCGAAACACAAATAAATTCAAAAATGTATCGGATACGCGTGGAATCGAATACGGGTCGTCCGGCGCGTCTGACCATTAATTTCTTTTTCTACTTGTCGGACTCTGTCGCGCCCGTACTCCATAAATTTGCAACATCGATTTTCTCGACAACACGACGCAAATAATTAAACGAGCGAGTGTCTTTGTACTTGACGAGAGAACGGTGAACTGTGACACGACCTAATATAGCGTAAGGGATTTCGAAAAAGTTCACCCTGAGGTTTGATCATCGAGACAAAGAGACGGTAAAGCTAAAGTTGGCAGCTGACAGGAATATTCCTGAGGGATACCGCGAAGTAAGACGAATGGTTCTCGATTCTGCGTTTAAACTACTGCACGTTTTCTTACGTTTGAATCTAACAATGTATCGTTGACGGCGTGGACGCAGTCATGATGTTACGAGCATGATGCTTGTTGTTCTATTATAAGTGTGAACTCACCTTTAGCCGGAGGTCCAGGCCCTAGGGGTTAAAGGTTCATTTAATCGTGTCTGCCCCAGTTCATGGAGACCGTGAGCTCGCGTGACACACAGTCGCGCGAGATGCATTTTCTCTTGACCCCTTTAAATGTTACGATGTTTTTTTCGGATTTGTTTGATTAGCATACACGCGCAGCAATCTGATGCGTATCGTGAAAATAAATTTTATTTCCGTAATTGCAAGCGTTCCCAGGATAATTACCGCACTTTGGCATATGGCGCGCTTTTATTTTTAACGCGCAAGTACATCACAAAGTGAAATCTAACGATTAAGTCGGCTAAAATGTTTTAAAGTAGCAGTTTAATGGCGATTACAATCGTAGTTGTTAAAAGCATCGTTCTTGCTGAATTTAGGTTTTTATTGGCGTTCAACTGATGCTCGCAGTAAAACGATGGAACAGCAATGAAAGGGTCTCCTCCTCCCACGAAACTGAACGAATATGCTTGTGTTTCTGCAAACTCGATTCGTTAACCGTAATTATATTTGTTCGATTAAAAATAACTCGATTGCTCTACAATTTTATCGTTTATCGATACGTGCAATCAACATGTTTACGTTCTGAGGGAAGCTTACTTTTCGATCAACCCTCGCATACGCGCAGTTTCATTTAAAGAAACAATGGAGACGTCTCTCGAGACGAGTGGCCCAACAAGCCAAGTAAAAGTACACAGTGAAGTATAAAATATGAGAAAGAAGTTTATCTCAGTCATTAGCAGTGTTTGAGAATGCAAGTTACAACGTTTCCTATGTAGACACGTATTTTTTCCTCCTTTACGTCGAGCAAATATTGTGTAGTTTGCCTGTAATCCCCTCGCTTACCGAGTTTACCGTAACAGAGACAGTTATCGTGTACTTTATTTTTTCTATTTTTTTTTTGTTTTGGTGCGACACTGGCACTATCGGCTTCGAAATAACACCATTTATCTTCTATTTTTTAATTTTTAAATTCTCTATTTCCTACTTCCACCTATCTCCTATTCCTTACTCCAGTTATTCCTCTCCTTTCTACTCTTTTAACTCCTTCTCCTCATCATCTCCTTTTCCCCTTCTTAACTCTCCCGCAACCCTAACCACGCCTTCAGCCGTCGCTTACAACTAAATCGCGTACTTTAACTCGATACAAAGCTATCTAACGAGAACGCCAACTTTAGCGTGAATAAATCCCGATAAAAATTAGCGTCGAGGCTGAGTTTAAATTCGAACAATGTTTGCTATTAGCGTAAAGTGTGATTAAGACGTTTGAAGCGTGGCTCAAATAGAAATCCTTACTTCGTTATTGTGTTTGGGTTGATAGAAGAATGCGAATCTTGGTCGTAAATCGGGTGCAATCGATGTCATAAGCTGGAAGGATTTCAATGGCGTATAAAAGCTATCCTATAAAATCGTAAAATCGTGGCACGTAAAATGCTGGGTAGGAAAGCTTTCATTAATATATGGTTTCCGCAATATCGAAACGACTCTGAAGAATTTATTAATTTTTGGATTTATGTATTCCAGTCCCGTATATCGCAATTCTGTATAAACTTCACGAAGTTACGGGAATCCATTTCAAGATAAATCACTTCGCCACCACAGTTTCCATAATGTACACTTGTATTTATAGTAGATCAAGAAATATGTAAATGTAGTTGTTCGTATCTTTAAGACTATCACAATTGGGGCCCTCCCTTTGGAAATATCAAGCTGAAACTGTGACCTCGACCCAAAAGATTTTTGCTTTTTTGGTCATTTAAAGTCTATTGTTTATTCAACGGAAGCGAACAATGCGTATGCTCCGCGAAAGAGAATACCAAATAAATTCGGGACGATTCGAAGAAGCGCTGGCATTTTTGGCAGATTGCGAAACATTTTTTAGAATCATCCATAACTCAAAAACTAAAGTACATAAATCATATGTTCGTATGACGTACAGTCATACATTTTTCAAGCACCTTGTACGGCGTTCATAAAACATTTGATACGTGGCAAGCTTGCGTTTGCATCTGAATATACGGCGCAAAAGCTTCCCACGCATGACCATTAAGGATTCTGAAATATTTTGAAGTTACTTTGCAATAGTGTATTCTCGAATTGCATCTTTTCCACGCAGTGCGTCCATTAAAAAATGATTACGTTTCAATATTCATACGCTAAGTAGATTACGTTCCAGTATTAATTAAACCAAATTGTATTAATTCCATTATATATGTTAAATACGTAAATAAGGTACTTCAGGCGCTTTAGCTTTGCAACCAGAGATAACAATCAAAACATTAACTTAGTTTGCGTAAATTTTACGAGGTACATTCGTTGGTAAATTGTTCAATGGTAACGCGTTAATAATTTTCTTGTTGCAGGGGTTTCCCACTATTCGAAATGTCTCGAGGAAAGTCCAGATCATATCGCGGTGAACGAAGTAAGTACAAGTATACTATAAAAATTACGGCGACTCGAAATCAGAAACGATAAATATAAATTGTTTTACAAAGGTATCCTTAATTTAAATGCAATTTCTATTTCCATCCATAATTATTTTTGCCTTTGTCTTGGTTATTGATGACACAATGCAATTACCGTGCGTTTAAGTGCCGTTTGAACTTGACAGATTCTCAAACAGCTTCCATTTTTTTCCAGAATAGGTCGTCCCAGTTATGCCGGACGAGCTGTTATTATCATTCACATTCTAATTATGATGTTCAAAAGTCGAGATAACCGTAATATGTTGTATACTTATATTTTACAAGTGCATTTTGTAGCTTTGTTTCCTTGCTTTAGTCATTTCGAGTCAATTATGTTTCACACGGCTGCAACGAATTCGTAAGCAAGTATATTTGCTTGATCGTTTCTGCCCACGGTTTGCGAATTCGTACAGGAAAATTAGGTTCGCAACGGGCAAACGAGCTGACTAAATTGTATGTAACGACAGTGTATATCAATCACTTAACGTGACCTAGATTCTTCCGCGATTAAAGCAAAGTTGACGAAAAACATTTTTCCGATTTACTCTTCGTTACGCACAGCGAACGTCCGATTGCTTTAATTTATTTTATTCTCCGTGATCGCGTTTCGTTTTTGCGGATGGAGGTTTTCCTGTTCGACATCCTCTTAGGCTGGCTCTGCGAGCTGTTAATATTTTAAATTTTTGCCGCGTTAAACATGCACTTTGAAAGGATGTACGCTGTATGGAATATTAAAGGCAAACCGTCAAAGAATTTAGTTCACACGGCATTTTATGAAACGAGCAGAAAATGTCATGAGAAATTATAACTGTTGTCGTCGTGGCAAAATTCTCGAAACGCTTTTCACGTTTACGATAAAAATGCAGATGACGCGATCGTTGAAATAATAACGAGAATGCTAACACGGGCACCATCGTTTTTTGTTGATGGTACGCATCCTGTACTGCCTGTCGTGCAGTTTCGTTCGAATTTTATGTCATGGTCGAGGGAAAAGTGCGTGATGATGAGATCGATGAACAAACGAGTTACCAAGAATTACATGTGAAAGTATTTAAATACTATACCTAACAATGCTTTCGTGAAATATATCTACATTCTCTGTGCATTTATTCAACAACACTTCTATTTTCACATGTCTCTTTAAAAATAGTATCGTTCGTTTATTCTGAAACCAACAGTTCCTAAATTAAACTAATTTACCATGAACCACCGACATTAAACGTTCCATTTATCTCTAAATTTTTGTTCAATATTCTGGCCAAAGATTCAAATTATATTCCAATGTTTGGGAGCAAATAAAAAATTGCTTTTTTATTAAATAGCAGTGTGTGTGGGTTCGATTTTCAGAGACCACGAGAAATCCAATTTACCGGAAAGTTCAATATTCACTGCTCCCAGTTATTAGCTAAAACACTGATTGAAACGAACAATTGATAGAGAAAAAAAACCAACAATATTTCTGTATCTCTGTTAGAATTATTCCGTCGAATTTCGAGTTATCGATTTTGGGAGTTTACGCTATGCTCGAGTGTATTTTAATCGCACCGATGATAGCAACTTTCGTGTCAATTCAAGTTTGAAAGCTATTTCGCGCTATCCAGTGACGACGGTGTTAAATCACCAATCCATCTCGCTACTTCCGTGTAAAGTAAGTTAACCCATATAGCTATGCGTCGATAATGCGTTCAATTCTCTGATTGCTTGTAACATAATGCGTCGATGAATGATCGACATTCGTTCATTTAAACCTTCAGTTAAGCGACGCAGAGCTGATCGGCTTGTCGCTTTGATTAACGACTACTTTCTGCGCACGACTGGCATTATCAGGCAATGATTAACTCGAACAATACGCTAAAATAGTGTTTAGTGCGAACCACTGGCCTAATTAAATTTTTTTAATCAAGAATAATATCGAATTACGTCGAAGTTGGAACTGTAAAATCAGAATTTTATTTCCAGATGTTCACTTGGAATTTGGGCAGACCAGTCGACGAAGCGGAAATATTGCAATTGACGGTGGTGTCGCGCGGAGTTCTAAGGAATGAAAAGGTGATCGCGAAATATGGATTGGTCCTGCAGATGGTGGTAAGAGAAGGTCGAATCGTCGTCACGGATTCTTTGGTAGACCTCAACAATAAACCGCTTCCGGTACGTTGAAACCCCAACGATAACAGTTTCCGCGTGCAATTAATTTTATCGAGCGTCACGGTTGAATTGCTGATTTTAATGAGCCAAAATCTACAGTCGCAGAGAAAATACAATACCCAAGAATGATCATAACTATAAATTTATTTAAATAACATACGTTAATATTTGAATTACGTTTGAGTTACCAGCGATTCTATTTCCCATCCATTTCAATATGCTGCACGGTTTGTTTATGAAGACGTAACAAGTATGCGGAAGAGTGCGTGTTACGATCGATTCACTTTAAGAGGCACGTCGATGAAGCTTGAAATTTCACGAGATAGCGTCGCGGAGAATTTATCGCCCCTCAATTTTCGATGGAATTTACATCTTCTTACGAGCTGCCATTGTTTGCGTTCGAGGATCTCGAATACAAAGCGGAGTGCACGTTAAATCGCCAAGAATTTAGTGGATAATTATCTTCAACATGCGGAGAATCCATTTGGTATGTTTAGGCTGTCGTCTGCTTCGAAATTCGATACAACCCTCCCGACGGAAGTTGCAGCTCGTACGCTGCGTCGGAAATAATGGAAGACGAGCAACAGATGCTGATCGACATCGAGCAGAATATCGCGAACCTCGAGAGGAGCCTCGAGCAAGCGAACACCAGCTCAGCCACTGGCAAACGTCGGGGTTCTTGGCAGAGCCCTGAAAAAACTTCCAAGAGAGGGTTTTTGCAACGGGGTAGTTCCATGTCGACGGCCGAGAAGTCACCCGAACGTAAAAGGTGTGCTGTTTTCGTTAATTCGACACCAATTCGCCGGTTACGTTTCATTTTCTTTCGTAATATCGTCTCTCGTCCTCGTCGTTTCCCTTGTGAAGAAGCTACAAGTGGAAAACTTCGGAACGAGAACACTGTTTCAGTCTCAGAAATCATCTAAGGAGGGTAGGAAATAAAAGATAGCAACGAAAATAAATAAACCTTCGTGAATAATAAAATTTTGCTACTCTATATAATACGTATTCCTAAACATCGAAGCTTTGTATAGACCAACGACATGATGAGTAATGTATTAGTGTAAACGTACGAAAAAAATTTGTTCCCGTGCAGCAGGAGTTCCACGTTGAAAAGTATGAGGTCCTTTATGAAGCTGGGCAAGCAAAGACCACCCAGAGCTCGATCATGCGATAGCGGCTCGGATACCAGGGAGTTACTCGAAAGACGTGACGCGAGTTGTGCTACTTCCAACGAACCTTCGAGGACGAACTCGATGACATCTTTGGAGACGAACGAGTCTGATTACGATACCCAAGCTAGCGTGAATGCTGCGGAATCGCAAGACGCGATCCTCAAGCCAGCGAAAAAACCAAAACCAAAGGTTTGTCAAATCTTAATAATAGTTAATCCTGCGTGCATCGCGAGAATTGAAATCAGTTGTGCCAGTGTCGAATCGAACGTGGGATACGACTGTGTTCCAATTACACGAACTATTCTGTCTATGTATCATTCGAAATTGGAAAATTAGCTTTGTCCCGTTCGCAATCGAAAATTTGTTACCCGCCGACCAGTTTGCGTTTTCGTTTCCACTGAACAGAGGCGTGGAATAGACGTTCGCGAACGTTGTTGACGTTTTCATTGATATTCTCCGGAGTTGCGTGGAAGCGTTATTAACGTATTCCGCGGGGACGCCGTTGAGCGGTGAAATTACGAATGGAAGAAACGAAGAGCATTCGAAAATTCGCCATCCAATCGAGGGAAAGGAAATAAATAAATTGCCCGACGAATTGCGCTACGGGATTCGCATAAGAATCCACACGTTCGTCTTCGACCCAGGGGGAATTAATTTCATCCAGTTCCTGTTTCTTTTACTAGAACTGACTCGTTTGATATTAATATAAAAAGAAATTAGAAGGGTCCATGTTGTTGTCGGCTCTAAAAATTCACATTTTAAAATTAAATTATCCTTTTTATAGCGAGATAAATTCTCATCTAGCCAACAAATTTGGAATAACGAACAAAATATAAACAACCTCCTGCTTTTTTTCGGCGAAAAAAAATTTTCAAATCGTTCTGAAAAAATTATTTTTAACTAGGGGGGTCAATTACAATCATTTTTGGTGAATACACATACCCCCGAAATCCTACGCACTTTCGAGAAAAAAATTCCTTACCGAAAATATAACGTATATGTAGGATTTAACGAAGAGGATTTATTTGCGGAACAAATGTACAAATCATATAATTATAATAAACGAATTTGAAACACACAAGTTAATAATTAGCAACACAAATTATAATCACGTCCGTCTTTCACAATCAATCGTTTCCTACTTCCCGTTATCTCGCTGTCCCTAGTAACCCATTTCTTCTTGAACAAAACACTTTCAACCCTTTTGCACATAAATTAACATTCAACAAAACTACAGCGTGGCACAAATATTCAATACAAATCTCCTACATATATGGTTGAATACGAACCGTATCTGATGTCATATGTGCAATGATGTTATTACATATCTGAACGTGTATGATCGTACGTTATCATAAGGGACGATATATGGCTATAGGCAGTGCTGTATAGGTCGATACATGGAATCGTATATCATCGAATGATACCATTACGAACTTGTATTACCACCCACGATCCTGCAAGATCATATTTGATCACATACAATATCCCATTTTAATTTTAAAACGTAGAAGATAGGAGACGAATTTAGTGTGCTTTCGCAGTCTCACTACTTGCATGGCTTGTCTCTAAATCCTTCCAAATCCTCCATGTCGGTTGTCGACTTTCCGTCTTTCCTTCGAAACCTACTTTCTTTCGATGTCTTGTTCGATTCAGGTCTCCTTGCTATGCACCCTGACCTTACAAATCTTCTTGCAACGTGTTTGATCCGCCTTGTAAATTCTGGTTGCCATTTTCCTCGGTTACAGTCTTTCATATCCTTCTCGTCATGTTTTATCAACTCATCATTTATTTAGTATTTTAATTGAAATTTATATTTATTATATATCTGGATTGATTGCAAATTACCATGAAAAAAGCTTCGTAACGCGTTATCCTGCGATCTCAATTTTGCTCGAATTCGCTTTTGCATCGCACCGTTGAACAAAAACCATCCCGAATTATGCTACTCCACTATGCAAAGCTTCATGTAGGTACAAAGCCTGTAATGTGTCCACAAGCTTATCGTGGTCATAAATTCGACCACATTACTCTGTTCAAACATTCTGGTTGGGTGAATATATGGCAGAGGTGGATTCTTTCGTCCTCATGAATTTAGCTTGTTATCCGACGTTCACATTTATGGTTTTGATTTAAAGACAGGAATTCAAAAAAGATATTTAGCAGTCGAGAAAACAGAGGAGCTGAATTTGAAAGTAACTTATAACAATAGCTTCCTGGATTACTGCGAATATAATTTTCTAGTATCCTGTATTTCAACAATTTCGTTGCTCGAATTTATCTTCTACAGACCACGGACACAGGCCAAACCGCGTTAAAGGCGCAAGATTACCAAGTTTGCGTTACCATCATAGAAGCTAGGCAGTTAGCAGGATTGAATATGGACCCAGTGGTTTGCGTACAAGTTGGGGATCAACGCAAATACACCAGCGTCAAGGAGTCCACTAATTGCCCCTATTACAACGAAGTAAGGTTTATCTCCAGAACGTTTAATCGCGGAATAACGAACTACGAACATACACAAATTGAGAAAGTTTCAATTTACTTAGAGACACCCCGTTTGTAAAGAGAATTTTAACTTCTAACTTTTATCCTCGTTTATCGCATTCGATTAGCGTTTTACGGTTCTTTACGCGGGCTTCACAGAACATGCTGCGGGATATAATTTTCCACCATTACGGTACATTTGTTCTTTTGTAACAATCTATGTAATCGTTTGTTTCCAGTACTTTGTCTTCGACTTTCACATGCCTCCTGTGATGCTTTTCGACAAAATAATCACACTCTCGGTAAGTAATTTTAAAGCATCGTTAATTATCCAGCTCATTATAGAAGTTAGGAAGCCGATCGCTTCGTTGATCATTTAGCCAATTAGCCTCTGTAATAAATATCGTAACTTGACGCCAGTAAATTGTTAGCCGCGCTCGATTTAATGCCAATGTTTTCTGTACTCGAAAATATATGGCGTTTGCACGAAAATTAAACGCTACTTCTCGTGCGGTTTTACGACCAACCGAGTCTTTCGTCACCTTTGCATTTGTGACGCAAATAGGTGGATCTTGTTAGGAAAATCCTGAATTTATTCTCGACTATCCTTTCTTTGCGTCGCTATTTGTGCACAGTAATTACAGAAGAAAACGGATCATCCGATCGACTAGCTAAATTGAAATATCTTTCGCCGAGGTTCTTATTTCTAATTCCAGTGGCTGCCGGCAACGCGATATATTTAATTTTATGTTACGAATCTTCGATCTTGCCTCGAAGCGATAAAAGCAAATTTAATTATTAAATTGGAATTCCACGGTTGGGTAATAAAACACGTGCAGCTCCTCTCTTTAATAGAAAAGCGATTCCAGATTTTCCGAGTGTAATTTCTCAAGTAAACGTAGCAACGCTGCATCCGTTCTGCAAACACTCGATTGAAAATTTATCTTCCTTCAAATATTTCCGGACTCGAACGGATTTATTGAATTTATCAATCCCGGTAACGTTCTGCTTAAGCGAACGAAAATTCTCATTTGTCATTCAGACGACAGGTAAGAAAATAACCAGCGATGCGATACTGGTATGATTTTTATATCGATATTATGCCAGGAAAGTTATACAGAAACCGATATCTCGTTTCTCGAGGTATGAAAAATGTCGAGAAACCAGGAACACTGGTGAATACAGGTTACTCGAAGTGAACACCTTCTACTGCTACGCAGGTGCAGCAATCGCGGAATCTCTTACGCGCTAATCTAACGCTGGGCAGCTTTAAGTTAGACATCGCGACAGTATGGGCACAACCAGGTACAATATTTCGGATTATCCGAATTATTATCCGAATGGAATTCTAAAGACTACTTTTTCGATCATTAATAACTGTCTCTCATTTTCTGTCGAGTCCGTGCCGAGGAAACAGAAACGCTTTGGCGCAGAGTACGAACGGGAAACACGTTGTTCCCTTTTAATCGGAGAGAACATTTTATTTTTCGATGCGCGATGTTGTGCTAATGATGTGACGAGTTATAAATATCCTTTTATACGTTGCCAGTGACGTTTATCGTGAATTAAGCTCCCCCGATTAAAATGAAAATGAATATTAAACATCGATATTCGTGTCGCAAAGTAATATAGCTGGATCACATACAAATCTACGACGCGATGGAAAACGTCACCGAACATTTATGCATGCTTTTTACGCGAATAACTTTTTTCTCTCCTGCCCGCGGCGGAGTTGATTGAATTAATTTACAAAATTGTGCTTTTAATCGCAGATAGAGCTACATTATAAAATCGAAGTACGCGGCTTCGTTTGCGAGCCGACGTCTTGACTGAAAATACCGTTTACCGTGAAATTGCTCCTATCCCATCGTCTAGATTTAAAGAAATTATCTTTAAACGGATAATGCGAAGCTCGCCAGAAGGTTTAAAATCTATTAAACAGAAAAAAAATACAGAGAGAAAACTAATCGGCTAAATAAATACTCGAGAAAAGAAACGTTACAAGCTACTCTCGCGTTTTGCTTTCCATTCTTATCTCGAACCATTTCAGCGCATGTATTTTTCAACCCTCTTCTCTGTACGCACATCGCTTACTATATCCGAGTCATGCCGCTTCTGTCGCACAGAACGATGTACAAAAAAATTTCTGAGCATAAAGATGTACTGTTTTATAAAAAACTGAAAATAATACTGCTTGATTACTGCCATACGAATCGTATTAGGTCGCGCACTGGCTGTCGTTGATGGTCTAATTGTACGGTTGACGTAAAATCGATAGCATTTTTCCAGTTCCAACGATTTTTCGATGAGACAGGAATTGTTCGTTGAAATTGTCAAACGATACGAAGATGCATCGGAAGCGGATGACTGGCGTGCATCTTCCTTCACACGTTCACGCGTATCATGAATGGTGTTTTATGATCGTTCGTACAACGTTTCTGCGCTTGGACTTTCTCCTTTCTGTGTGTTTACGTTCGTTAAGAGACACCGTCGCCTAACACGCCCTTCTGGTCCGCAGATCATCAGTTTTACCATAAATGGGCGCTGCTGACGGACCCGGACGACGTGGCTGGAGGTCCAAAGGGCTATTTAAAGTGCGACATAAGCGTGATCGGAAAAGGCGACACCGTGAAGATACCGCCGAAGAGCGAAAAAGACGAAGACGACATCGAGGGTAATCTGTTGCTTCCGGATGGCGTGCCAATCGAGAGACAAAGGGCAAAGTTTATCGTTAAAGTGTATAGAGCCGACGGTTTACCCAAGATGAACAGCAGCATCATGGCGAACGTGAAGAAGGCCTTCACCGGCGAAGTCAAGGATCTCGTCGATCCTTACGTTCAAGTGTCCTTCGCTGGATTAACCGTAAGATCGATCGAACTTCTCGACAATAAATATTAGGTTGGTCCGGAACTCTTCTTATTTAATTCGAGTAGCTAGAACGTTCATTATGAAAAGAGGAAGTCTATGGAACAACCTGATATTTCGACGGAACTAAACGTAGATTTGAATGTCCGTATTCTCCGCGGCACTTTGGTACATGTAAAAGAGAGAAAACTGTTTTATTCGTCTCTCACGGAATTCAGGGTAAGACGAGCGTTAAGAGGCACAGTTACGCGCCGGTTTGGAACGAACAGATCGTTTTCACGGAAATGTTTCCACCCCTCTGTCAAAGGATTAAAATTCAGCTATGCGACAACGACCCTGTTCACGCCACCGTGATCGGCACGCATTTCGTCGATCTGAAACAAATCAGCAACGACGGCGAAAGGGGATTTCTGCCCACGTTTGGCCCTGCGTTCGTTCACTTCTACGGAAGCATAAGGGATTACAGCCTCATAGACGAACATTCGACGCTGAACGCGGGACTGGGAGAAGGGATCTCTTACAGAGCAAGGTTTCTCATTACTTTTTTTTTCTATCTATTATCGTTTTAAAGATGTAGCTTTTCCTCCGGTTGTATGGGACACTCTGTATTTCGGTCAGGGTTTGCATCACTTTCGAAACAAAAAGTTAGTTGATCGTTGCTCACGTTCTAGATTATTGATAGCAATTAGGACGGAAATAAGCGATAACGTCGAGATGGCTCCGTCGGAGGTCGAAGTCGAACCTGCCATGCTCGTCAACGAAACCGCTTACGCGAGGAACGAAGAGTTTTTCCTTTTCGCTACGATTATGGACGCCACGATGATCGATAAAAAACTCGGCGATAAACCGATGTACTTCGAAATATCGATAGGAAACGCGGGGAACGCTTTGGACGGCCACAACGAAAGCTCCAAAGTAAGCTCCATGCATAGCCCTACTAATTTTCTCGATATTGCGCTGTTCCACGCTTCAAAGAGCTTGAAACAGAGGAAATTGCCGAAAGTTGTGTTTACAATAACTTTTGTATTTAAAACAATTTTCAAAAAATAATGTATCGCGAGATATATGGAAACTATAGCGAGATACAATTGACTGGAATATCTGGAGTTGCGAGGAAAAAGCAGAAAGGGAGCAAAGAGATGCAGATTGTACACTGTCAGACGCAGCTTCCAATCAATATCCCAGAAACTGTATCTCTCTGTAACTTTTCAAACTGCATTTGTTTAGACATTGCAACCAGGAAATATTCGAATTCACACGAGTGTTAAAATAGAGTAACGTTTTAAAAGCATTCAAAAGTTCGTTCGAATTGATCGTTGATAGATGTGCGAAATGGGGCCGAAGAGCGGAACGAGCGGAGAACAAGAAGAGTTGTTGGAAGTTTTGAGCGGATCCTGGCAGAGCACCACACCACCGAGTAAACCAATGACACACGACAAGATTTATTATTTCTTACCGTATTGGGACGACAAGCCGTGCCTGCACGTTCGAAGTATTTGGCCGGATTACAGGCGCAGGATGTACAACAGCAATATTATTAGCAAAATCGCCGACAAACTGGTAAATCAAAGACAACGAGAGAAAGGGGATTCGACGCAATAAAACTCACCGTAGTCTTGTTTACGACTTTGATTTAGGAAGAAGGGTTGACGGAAGCTCAATTGCACGCGGATGACTCTTCGGGCGACAAAATCCTAAAATCCACGCTCGAGGAATTGAGCGGCAACTGTAATCGATACGTTAGCATCAGCAAGTCGAGTCTTACCGGGCCGGGGGTTGGAAAAACAAAGCTCGATAAAGAGAGAACGAAAATGTGTCAAAGGGAATTGGAAAATGTTGGAATTATGGCGAGAAATCTTAAAGCAGTGGTCACGAAGAGCAGCTTCAAAGAGAGATTGAAGACGGCTCAGGGTTACCTGCAAAAATTGAAATTTCTCGTCGAAGATGTGAGTAGTAGTAGCGATCTGCAAAATTTTCGACCAGAAAGATCTACGTACGTACGATCGCAAAAGTCTTTTCATAATTTCAGCCTCAAGATTCTTTGCCAGATGTTTTTATTTGGGTAATTAGCGCTGGACGACGGGTGGCTTATCAAAGAATATCAGGAAGAGATTTAATTTATTCGATCGTTGACGAGGAATGCGGCAGATATTGCGGCAAAGTGCAAACAATGTTTCTCAAAGTACGTTAGCTTGCAATTAGACGTTTAAATATATCTGCGATTAACATGCCTATTGATTTAATTTTTCCGGAACGCTAAAATTTCTATTAAAATGAATTCTTGGAGTGCAAAGTAAGCTTTCGTTGAAAACAGTACGTCCGTAGCTTCCAGGAAAGAAAAAGTTCGGACCGTCCGGTTGGGCAATACAGACAAAATTGCAAATTTATACGTGGTTGGGGATCTTGAAGCACAAGAAGTACTTTATCCAAGGCTTATCGAAAGGATATGAACTAGGCCACGAATTGAAGAATGTCGATAGGCCACGCTCTTTACCACCGACTATCATTCATTATGTCGACAAACACGTGCGTGCCCGATAAATACTTTAGCGAATATAGTATAATAGTAATTTGGTGTACACGAAATACCGTTCTTTTCAATGAAATTTACCAAGACGCGTGCTTATGAAATTGCATCACTGGGTCGACAATATTTCTATAGAGCTTGAAAAGCAACATTTCGTATGCACCGACCTAATAAATTTCCCTTATGTTTGCATAAGAGGAAAGAAACGTAGCGTGGGCGGAAAATCTATGCAGATTACTAAAATTTTGTAATGATTATTGAGTAGAAATTCCAACTGAGAGCGCACATGTATCAAGCCCGATCTTTGATCGGTAGCGATGCGTCCGGTCTTTCGGATCCATTCGCGAGAGTAATCTGTGGTGAGTTTTGCAAATCCACGCAAGTGATCGACGAAACTCTGAGTCCCACGTGGGACGAGCTGCTCCTTTTCGACGAAATTTTGATCCACGGCACCGGCGAAGAAATCAAGAAAGATCCACCGTCGATCGTCGTCGAAATCTTCGACCAAGATAAAGTGGTACGTCGCGGCTACGACTTTTCTTCTACAAATTACGTCTCCTCTTCTGTTTTTATTTCTACCGCGATACGATTTTCCGTTAACTGCAATGAAAAAGAAACTTTGGTAGAAACGCTGGCGTTTGAGTTTCTTATGTTTTTGTAATTCTCTTTTTACAGAGTCATTTTGTAACTACGGACATAACATTGCATGAGGGCTCTGCTTTAACAGTTTGTATACAACATACGACATTCGTATAAATATCAAACAACACAACCTACCACATACCACAACACTCGACCCTTGTAGATATCAGAGATACGCACAACCAACACACGCTTCCACATTTTACTTTTCGCTAGTATTCGCTAATTGGTCGACAGAGCATGATGACAGTGGAAACAAGAACAGGGTTTCGACCCTGGCTTTAGTCTCTCCTCGGCATATGAGTATTAATCGAAAATTATACATTAAATCTATACCGTTGTTCCAACCACTATCATTATCCTATCGATCGTCAATATGCCAAGCAATTTAATAGTTGCTAATAATATATAAGTAAAGGATTTTCAAGTCGTATAATCGTGGTTAAAGAATTCTTACAGCACGTCCTTGATATTATAAAATTATTGCGTAGGATATAATCACGACATGTAAAACCTAGCATGCAGTAATGATAATGTAAAAGATAAAAAAAGATAGCGCGTTTAAAAGATCCTTGAAGAAATAAAATGATCCATGTTAATTATCACGTTTGCTACCGACGTTTAAAGAAAAAATCGCTCCGTGCGTGATAGCAAACGTATTAAAAAAGAAATCACTTCCCAATACATATTTCGGCTTGTTCATGAAACTAACAACAATCTGTACGTGGGGATTGATTCAGACAAAAGCGTGACGTTTCAGGGCAAATCGGAGTACATAGGGCGAGCGGTTGCGCGACCTCACGTAAAACTCGCCTCAGAATCTTACACGCCACCGGAATTTCCTCCATCTTTGGAATGGTACGACGTGTTCAGAGGTGCTGCGAGGGCAGGCGAGCTTCTTGCAGTTTTCGAATTGATGGAGTATCCGTCGACCAGAGACTACGGTTTTCCAACGTTACCCGATCCAAAGGAAAGAACGGTTCAAACCCATGCCGTTGCTCAGGACCAAGGACCTATTCTTCCGGTACCCATCGGCATTCGACCGACTCTCTCCAAATATCGGTGAGACGCAGTCTGACGAACGTTTCGAAAACGATAAATATCTCTGGATACGGTGAATGGCTAACATTGATCATCGTTGCAATCGTAGAATCGAGGTTTTGTTTTGGGGCTTAAGAGATCTGAAAAGGATACATTTGCTCACCGTGGACAAGCCACGCGTGGACGTTGAATGCGCTGGCCATATCCTCTATTCTTCGGTAATACCCAACGCAAAAAAGAATCCAAATTTCAACACGCCGATCAAGTTTTTGGAGCTGGAGCTACCGGAACAGGAACTTTATCGGCCACCCTTAACGATCAGAGCAGTGGATTGTAGAAGCTTCGGGCGATACACTCTCGTTGGCACGCACACGATCAATTCGATACACAAATACATTTATTGCCCGCAAACCAAAAGAGCGAAGGATGCTGAAGACCGGAAAAAAAATCTGTATCAATTGCAACAATGTACGGGTAAATTGAAAAGTGTCTACGGATAAAAGATAAATGAAATATTATATTTCATTCTTTTATTTTCGCGGTAGGTTTCGATGCGTCCAAGACGAAATATCCGCAGACATCTTTGCCGGAGTCTATGGCCGATCTCGAATTCAGTTGCGGGGATACGATCATTACGTTAGGTTTGGAGCCAGGTTGGCCAACGAAAAAGGACAAAACGGAGCAAAATATACGAAAGAAGCAAAGCTTAATTTACGACGGGAGTGCAGGTAAGCCTATTATTTTCACGAACGAACCAGAAGGTAAAACGAGAACATCGATTCGATTCCCTCAGGGGATTTTGGTGCTTTCGAGGACGAGGACGGCTGCCAGGATTGGTGGACGAAATACTTTGCCTCCGTCGAAGCGATGATAGAAGAAAACAAAGAACTTCGTAAAGAGAAATCAATTTTTCAAATGCAATCGAACGGCAATGCCCCGATGTTGTTGGATGAGACTTACAATCAAACTCAAGGAAACGTTTCCGGGGAGAAGAGTCCCGGCGTGACGGCGAAGAAACTATTCGGTCTGAAATCGACCGCCAACGCGGCCAGATTCGTTTCGAAGCTCAGCCCCAGACAAAGTTACCGAAATTTCTCGAAAACGGCGTTGCTGAAAGTCTATCCGAACGAGTTAGAAGCTCAGCCGGAATTCGAATACTTTAAGGAATGGCTACACACGTTCGAGTTGTATCGCGGCAAGAAAACGGGCGACGAACCCGAGGATGAGTCTAGAATCGTAGGAAGTTTCAAAGGCGCTCTGAAAGTGTACAAATGGCCCCTGCCTAAAGACCTCATAGATCACACGGTGATGGGTTTCGACCCGCAATATGGCTTCTTCCAAGGCGTACCATCGAACGAACCGATTCACGTACTGGTCCGGGTTTACATCGTCAAAGCGAACGATCTTCATCCCTGCGATCTGAACGGCAAAGCGGACCCGTACGTAGTCCTGCAATTAGGCGGCAAGAGGATCAGCGACAAGGAGAATTACGTGTCAAAGCAACTCAATCCCATCTTTGGCAAGTACGTATCGACCGATCGAGATCCGATCGCTGGATACACGATTCGTCCAACAAAAATTGACACTGTTTGCTTGCAAGGTGTTTCGAAATAGAAGCAACCTTCCCACAGGATTCGCTGCTGACCATTCAGGTGCTGGACTGGGACTTGGTAGGCGCGGACGACATGATCGGCGAAACGAAGATCGATTTGGAGAATCGGTTCTACAGCAGACATCGTGCCACTTGCGGTCTAGCTAAAAGATACGACGAGTAAGTTGCCGATTGCTACCGATAATCATCGTCGTCTCTTTGTATACATCGGGGACAAGAATTAGATAGAATTAACAAGCAGTAGAGACTACTATGTAACGACACGAAAGACAATGCTGTGTTTCAGATCCGGCTACAATAAGTGGAGGGACGCGATGAAGCCGAGTCAGATTTTGTCGAAAATTTGCAAAGAAGGAAAAGTCGATGGCCCGGTATATTCGCACGGGCGAGTGACAATCGGTAGGAAGACATTTTCCCTGTCGAACGAAGAAATGGAATATTATATTCACTCCAAAGGCAAGCGTAATTCTTTGCATCGAGCAATCTTTGAAATTACTTACGTTCAATAACGTCTAACAATAAGAGTCGTTTTAAACATGAATATCGTTCGTTCGAACTGTTATTATTTATTTAGGCATAGAGGAACACCTTGCGTTGGCAGTTCTTCATCAATGGCAAGCTTTTCCGAGAATTGGTTGCGCCTTGGTTCCCGAGCACGTGGAAACGCGTCCCCTCTATAATCCTGAGAAGCCAGGGATAGAACAAGGAAAGCTAGAGTTGTGGGTCGATATGTTTCCCATGGATATGCCTTCGCCCGGACCATCGATCGACATTTCGCCAAGAAAGCCGAAAAGTTACGAGCTCAGGATCATTATTTGGAACACGGACGACGTTGTATTGGAAGACGATGCTTTCTTCACCGGCGAGAAAATGAGCGACATTTACGTTAAAGGGTATCGCGTTGCTTTGACATTATGATAGCTGTTGGGATAAAATAAATCTTTCGATTCAATGTTTCGCGTGTTCTATCAGATGGTTGAAGGGACCAGAAGATTGCCAATCTACGGACATTCACTATCGGTCTCTAACGGGAGAGGGGAATTTTAATTGGCGTTTTATATTTCCGTTTGATTATCTCGTGGCGGAGGAGAAGATTGTCATAAATCGAAAGGAGAGTCTCTTCAGCTGGGATGAAACCGAATGCAAGATTCCGGCTCGTTTGGAATTACAAGTAATGCAGATGTTAAGGAGCACGAGAACTCACTCTTAAAAGACATCTTTCTTTTACAGGTATGGGACGCGGATCACTTTTCGGCCGACGATTTCCTAGGCGCCATTACTCTCGACTTGAATCGGTTCCCTCGTGGTGCAAAAAATAGCAAGCTCTGTACGTTAAGCATGTTAAAGACCGACGGATCAGTGCCGATGGTAAATATTTTCAAACAAAAACGAATAAAAGGTTGGTGGCCTTTCTATGTAAAGAAGGAGAACGAAGACATGGAATTAACGGTAAATTTGAACACATTTCTTGCATTCGAATACGTATAGAATCATTATTGTTCATGGAAATTCGAAACTATTTCGTATTGCAAATGTTCGCCAGGGTAAAGTGGAGGCCGAGATTCATTTGTTAGCCAAAGACGAGGCTGAGAAAAATCCTGCTGGATTCGGTAGAAACGAACCAGATCCGCTTGATAAACCAAAGTAAGTAACAACTAATAATCTGTCGTAAACTATAGATATCAAAACAAACAAACTTATTACATTACCTAATATGTACCTATATTATTCTTATACATATATAATCTCTCTAAAAGTTTCATTAACGTACGACTCGATTCAATTAAATTACATTCTCTTTTTACTATTTACATTCTAATTACAATCTATCGTCATTCTTAATTTTATCGTAATTTTTAGCGATATTTAAATGTAGCTCGAAGAATTTTTCAAAGTTTCGAAGATTGTAGAATTCTAAAAAAATCAAAGACCGTGCCGCATTCCTTCCAACGATTTTGTTTTAGTAACTTTACGATACAAATATGGTGTGTACCTGTCGTTATATAGATCAGGGGTAACAAACTTTTCCCCCGAGAGCCCTAAGAATCCCACCACTACTACTCAACCAGTTCTCCCACCATCAGGTTTCATATTAATTAATTAATTAGGTGCCCGGCCTTTAACAAGCCTTCGTCCCAATTCTGCCGAATAGACATAGCAGGGTTAGTTATTCCAAGTGTTCGAGGAACACACTAATTCACAAGCTGTTAGTTCGTGATCTTTTCCGAGGGAGGCGTAGGTAGTTGTAAATTATTAACACTAGAGACTCTAGTCTAGAGTAACCTAACAGTGCTGCATTCAAAACTTTGAAAACTCCTTCAAGATGCGTTTAAACATTGTTAAAGCAAAATCTGAAATATTTTAAGGTGCGTACATATATAAACTTTTTATTTCGTATTTCAGCCGGCCCGATGCATCATTCATGTGGTTTTTAAATCCTTTGAAATCCATTAAATACATCGTATGGCACAACTACAAATGGGCCATTTTAAAAGCTTTTGTAACCATCGGAATAGTAATACTCTTATTATTATTCTTTTACGCTATACCTGGTTATTCCGTCAAAAAATTGTTAGGAGCATAGATGCACGATTTGTGTGTTTCAATCGTGCGTAGCTATATTATTTGGAATATGAAAGACGATATTTTGATAAGGGATGAAAATTGGATGTAACTGCATTACTGCTTACTATACATATAACAAGTATTTAAAAAATAATTTCATTATTCTGTGCTATTGAATTCATACATCGTTACCCCACGTTTTAAATATAATACATTATATGCATAATGTAGAGACATAATGTATTATATTATACAGAACAATAAAAATAAATTATTTTTTGAACATTTAATATTTCTCCGTTTCGCGCTACGCCTCATCGTACAAATTCCATAGGCCTTAAAATTTAAATCTAGTAACTATAGAACTTTAAATGTCTTGAATATTTTTTTCTTTTTCTAAGTGATTTTTGATAGAGAGAAGAAAAGTATTTCAACTTTAGACGACTGTTACCCTTATTAAATTATTGCTGTATAGTGGACCAACAATATGGTAGCAAAATTTAAAGTGTATATAAATAGTAGTACATAACACATAGTTAAGAATCATTAGACGCAGAACAATAATATGTAATATACATATACAATTTTCATGGGATATTTCTTTACAAATATTGTAGCCTACTTCGTTGTAAATAAGTAGCTTAATATAAATAATATGTAATTAGAAATTAATAAAAATATTACGAATAAACTGTTAATTTTTTCATAAGTCTGCAGATAATACTTCAAATTTATTAACCACGTGTCGTATCTTTGATTCGTCGCTCGATGTATTATCGGAATTAGATTCTTCTTCTTCCTCCTCCTCCTCTTCTTCTTCATCTTCTTCTGTTGAACATTTTTCAGTTTCTGAATCCTTGTCTGTATCTTCTGTTCTATTTTTACCTTGAATCCATCTTACTAATTCAACTTCTGGATGGTTCTCCCACTTTTCTATAAGTATGTATTTATTATTAAAATGTGAATGTGAAATGTCAAATAACTTGAAAATTATTTTTAATGCTATACACTGAATATTACCTTGATTAACGCTCCAATTTAATGGATAAACGAATATAGAAATTGCTCCCCCAAGCGCCATTCTTAACAATGAATTAGCCGCTCTGTACGTATCGGGTCTACCGGTCCGCGCAGTTAGAAAACTTCGTTTTATAGCCCAAGCCTCGCAAATGTCCATAGCGGACCATGTATCGTCTTTATCTGGATGTTCAAGTCTTAATAACTTTGTTAAATCTACTCTTTCAGCTAAAAATTTAACTGTTGAACATGGATCCCTAACTTGAGCTATTGGAAAAGAACCCATCAAAATTTGTAACTCTTTCGGAACTGTTGATGGAAACACCAATCCTGGACAGTCGCAAAGACAAACATTTTTTGTAAGAAAAATAGTTTGAAAATATTTAGTATGTCCAGGTGTGCGTGATACGCTCACAACTTTCTTCCCTGTAATAAGTGTAAAAATTTACACACCATCTTGTTCATGATTTTCAAATACATTACATGAAAACATTAATATTCACCCATCAATGCATTCATCAAAGATGACTTTCCAACATTTGGAGTTCCAATACAACCAATAGTCAATACTCCATTTTTATATTGCTCGTGCTCGTAATAACTTGTGTCTTCTTTAGTAACAGTAACACTGTCTTTATGATCAATGTCATCTAGATTATATTCCATTTGCATTTCATTTTGAATTTTTTCATGCCAAGAAGTCAAATCTACTTTATCTTTTACAATTTCTTTACAAATATCCAATAGTTTTTGAGCTCCTTCTGCAGCCATTTTTAATTTTCCCCTTATACGTCTTTTTTGTAGTCCTTGTGTTTTTTCTGTATTACCATGCAAATTGTAAGTAGGATACGATGTAAACAGTAAAATGTGTAATTTAGGATATGTCTCATGAAAATATTCTTTCCATGCTACTACTATGCCTGGAGAAGCAAAATCAACTTTGTTCAGTACTAAAATCATGTCTTTCTTTAGCTCGTTTGTTACATAATGGTACAGATATGGGGGAAACATTAAGACAGGGTATCTGATATCAACAATAAATAACAATATATCAGACTTTTCAAGAACTCTCCATAGCTGCCTCCATGTTTCTAAATTTAATTCAAAGTGGCTAATATTGCTTATTCTTCTTATATTTTGATATTCCTAAAGATAATAAGTTAATTGATTGATTCTGAAGCTACACAAAAATAAATTAAAATTGAAATATATACAATTGCTTACTTCAAAGTACTTTTGCTCTTGTAATTCTAATTCTTTTTTTGACATATTGATATTCCATGGTGGTCTTTTGGGCATATCAATTAATGGTGGAAAATAATCCTCTGCAACTTCTTGGTCTTTGTAAGATAAAGGTGAAATAGCTTTCCTAGCTTCTTCTCTTCGTTCCATTAGTTCTTTCTTACTTTCTGCATAGAACTTTAAAGCATATTTATTGCGACCAATGGATGTATAGTCATCAATATCATTTTTGCTATGATTTCCACCTATGGGTTACAACATAAAATCAATTATTACGAAATTTATTGTATGAAATTTTTCACTTGTCACTGTATTATAGATACCAGATAAAGTTGGATTTAGTCGTTGCTTTTTAATTTTCATTTGCTGTTTCTTTGCTTTACCACTAAACGGTTTTTTCCTCGTCCCGTGCGGCATTTTTTCCTCTATATTAATCTCAGAATTTTAATAAAATCGTTCATTAATGGATTAAACACCTTCCATTGCGCATCTTCGCGTTGATAACATTTATACTAACGTGTTGACGTAACCGTCAACACGTGTGACATGTGACACTTGACAGCTCTATAAGAAAAAGAGGCGCTGGTGTTCGTTTCAGCTAGGAAAAATTTAGGAAGGCAAGGAAATCTCTAGATTCGAAAAAGAACGTTGAGAACACGCCACTAATGGGATTAAGGACTCAGCATCACCAGTCGCTCCCATTTCTTTTATTATTTTAATAATTTTTTAAATATATTATCGTTTTGATGAGATGTTAAATGGATATCGAACATTTCAAAAGTTATGAAACGAGTATCGATACTTTTGAACCCTACCTTTTGACACTGTAGGGAACATGTAGTAACTGCCTAGGGAGGTCAGTACACACCAAGTTAGGGAATATTCAGAGGCACTTTCGACTTTCGTGTTCCGGCGAGCACGCAGTGAAACCTATTTCGCGCCTTTTGCATTTGATGTGCAATGTTGATGTAGTGTAATTATTCGTGTTTTTCGTACATATTACGTAGAATTTAACAAGGCAAGATGAACAAGAAACCCTTTACAACACCTTCTGCTGCAAAAAAGGCCAAATACCGGTAATATTTTGGAATATTTGTTGAGAATTTTATTTTAACCTTATTTCATGTACGTTGTGTGCATTTTTAATTATATTTTCTTTCAATAACTGTTACGACAAATATTTTAGTGACGTAAACTGAATCTAGATATTTTAAATATGTTGTCGAAATAATTTTCGTTTCTCGTATGTCGTCAAAATAAAAATAACGTTAATGATTTTAACAGTGTTCTTTTAATTCTTTGTTTAACGTTCGTTTTTAAAAATGAACATTTATCGATTTGCTATTAAATCAGTAGTTATATTTTCACTTTAATTTTTAATTGTAAATAGAGATGAAGATGAGGACAATTATCCTGGTTCGTTTGAAGCTGAATTGGCTAATATGGATGAAGTGGATGATGATGTGGGAGATGTATACCAAACTAATGAGGAGGTATATAAGAATAAAATAAAATTATAGCTTAATACATATTCTTTTATGACAAAAAGGTTTACCAAAAACTGAATCACAGTGTTAATTGTAATTAGTAATGTAAAGTTATTTTTAACAGGGTCCTGAACAAGAAAATACATTTTCAAAGTGGAATAGACCTCCACCATCACAATTAAATCCAAACGTAGATGTCTTAATTTTTCAACAAATAGAAATTGACCATTATTTAGGTAAATTAATACTATTACAAAAAGAAATGAACTAAAAAGAGAAGAATTTCTGATTTCTCATGTTTCTATGAAATTGTTTATGAAGGTGTACCCTTACCTGGAATGCCGGGCAGTAAAATAGCTCCTGTACCAATAATGAGAATGTATGGTGTTACAGAGCAGGGAAACTCTGTTTGTTGCCACATCCATGGGTTTTCTCCCTATTTGTATGTTTTAGCACCACCTAAATTTATGGATCATCATTGCAAGCCATTTAAGGTACACATCATTAAAATCATTTTGTATTGTTTAATTCGAGCATTTTATTAATTACTCATCTTATATCTACATATTATTTAGGATGCTCTGGATAAAGCTATTTTGAAAGATATGAGGTCGAATCCACATAATATTCAGGAAGCTGTTTTAGCCATTGAAAGAGTATACAAACAGAACATGTATGGATATACAGGGAGTGAAAAATCACTGTTTCTAAAAATCACAGTAGCAGTGCCGAGATTGATTGCCGCATGCAAGAGATTACTCGAGAACGAAATCATTTTTCCTACTTTTAATCACCAGTACAAGGCTTTTGAAAGCAATATTGATTTTGATATTAGGTGCGTAAAATACATCTAAATATGGTTTTACTGTTTCCAGTTTTTTTCTTTTCAATGCATTGTTGTCTTCGTTTTAAGGTTTATGGTCGACAGATCAGTTGTTGGATGTTCGTGGATTGAATTGCCAGCGAAAACTTGGAAATTACGCCGCCAGTACGGCCACATGTTACCATTGACTACAAGATGTCAATTGGAAGTAGATGTTGCATGGGATGGTTTTATTAGTCATCCACCAGAAGGAGAATGGTCGAAACTTGCACCATTTAGAATACTTAGTTTCGATATTGAGTGCGCTGGACGCAAAGGTATAAGCTCATTTATTTTCCATAGATATAGGGTGTTGAAAAAAAGGGTTCGAGACTTCTAGTATAAACTTCATTTACAAACAGGTATTTTTCCTGAACCGAATCACGACCCTGTTATACAAATTGCTAACATGGTAATAAGACAAGGTGAATCGGAACCATTTTTACGGAACATTTTCACACTTAATACATGTGCGCCTATCATTGGTTGTCAAGTTATAAGTTCTGACAAAGAAAGCGTAATGTTAGAGGTATAAACGCATTTTTAAAGTTTCATTGTCCCATCGATTGTTTTCAAACTAAATCAGTATCTGTAAATTTTATTTTATTTTCTTTAGAAATGGGCTGACTTCGTCAGACAGTCAGATCCTGATATTTTTACAGGATATAACATAAATAATTTCGACTTTCCTTATTTAATTAATCGAGCAAAGCATCTTAACGTAAAGAACTTTGAATACCTTGGTCGAATAAAGAATATCAAATCTGTGATTAAAACTCAAGTACTTCAGAGCAAGCAGATGGGACGACGCGAGAATAAATTTGTCAATTTTGAAGGAAGAGTTTCATTCGATCTATTATTGGTAAATGCAATTGTGTTTAATCCTATTTCGGATACTACTGCACACAGAAATAAACTAAAATTATTTTTATATTTAGGTTTTGGTCAGAGATTACAAATTGAGGTCTTACACTTTGAACGCTGTCTCTTACCACTTTTTGCAAGAACAGAAAGAAGACGTTCACCACAGTATTATTACAGATTTACAAAATGGTGACGCACAGACGCGTCGAAGACTTGCTGTTTATTGTTTGAAGGATGCATATTTACCGCTCAGATTGCTGGATAAATTAATGTGTATTATCATTTACATGGAAATGGCAAGAGTTACTGGAGTTTCTATTTACAGTTTATTAACTCGAGGACAACAGATAAAAGTTATTTCACAGCTTTTGAGAAAGGCAGGTCTTAATAACCATCTTTTGATACGGTGGTGCCCACTTAAGTGTCCGCACGTTTCCTCGCCCTCTTTCCTTGTCTCAATCGAATTCTGAGAAGTAACCATGCCCACTTAAGTGTCCGCGGTCGGTCCCGAGCGGTAACTACTGTAGTTACCAACGTAAATTATCAAACAGTATTACAAATATATTATTTCAGACTCGAGAGAAAGATTACTTGATGCCAGTACATCATAGCCAAGCTAGCGACGAACAATTCGAAGGCGCAACGGTTATAGAACCAAAACGTGGATATTATAGTGATCCAATTGCTACTTTGGATTTCAGTTCCTTATATCCCAGTATTATTATGGCACACAATTTATGTTATACAACACTATTGAATCGTGAGAAAAAAGTTAAATGTCATATCGATGACGACGATACAACTAGAACTCCGAATAACTTTCTATTCGTCAAAGCTAATCTTAGAAAAGGAATTCTTCCTGAAATCTTAGAGAATCTTCTATCGGCTAGGAAAATAGCAAAGGCTGAATTGAAGAAAGAGACTGACCCATTGAAGCAAAAAGTTTTGGATGGTAGACAATATGCTTTAAAAGTATCGGCCAATTCTGTGTATGGTTTCACTGGTGCGCAAATGGGGAAATTACCGTGCTTGGACATATCGGCGGTAAGATTCTATAACATAGATAAAGCGTTTTCTTTAACACAAGCATTTGGAATACAAAGTTAGGCAAAATGTAATTCGATTATTCGATATATTCGCGCTAAAGCAAACACTTTCTATATAAATTTATCTTATTGTTGAAGTATATTCTTTTATAAGCATATTGCAACAGAGTGTAACTGCATATGGACGCACCATGATAGAACGAACGAAACATGAAGTAGAAGAACAGTATTGTGTTTCAAACGGATACAAAAACGATGCCGTGGTTATATACGGAGACACAGATTCCGTTATGGTTAAATTCGGTGTTAAGACAATCGAGGAAGCAATGGAACTTGGGAGGGAAGCTGCAGAATATGTAACGTCAAAGTTTGTCAAGCCTATAAAACTAGAATTTGAGAAAGTGTATTTCCCGTATTTATTAATTAACAAAAAACGATACGCTGGTTTGTACTTTACGCGTCCCGAGCAGTACGATAAAATGGATTGCAAAGGTCTTGAAACCGTACGAAGAGACAACTGTCCTTTGGTAGCAAATATGATGAATACTTGTTTACAAAAGCTACTCATCGACAGGTAACGTGAATATTAAATCGTACATATGGTAATACTATTATAATTTTAGTTAGTAGTAATTCTAAAATCACCATGCGACTAATTTTTACTGTCGGTCGTAATACCTGCACCTAGCAGGTGAAAAGTGATTAAATTAATTTTTTTTTTTGTAATAGGAATCCTAATGATGCCGTAAATTATGCGAAACAAATTATAAGCGATCTTTTATGTAATCGTATTGATATTTCTCAGTTGGTGATTACAAAGGAATTGACTAAGACTGATTATGCAGCAAAACAAGCGCATGTTGAATTAGCGGCGAAACTAAAAAAACGTGACGCTGGAGTTGCACCAAAACTCGGGGACCGAGTACCATATGTTTTCATAAGAGCTACGAAGGGAACGCCAGCTTATCAAAAAGCGGAGGATCCAATTTATGTGTTAGAGAATAATATTCCTATAGACACGAATTATTATTTAGAAAATCAATTGTCCAAGCCTCTTGTGCGTATTTTCGAACCAATTCTTGGCGATAAAGCGGAATCGCTTCTGCTGAAAGGGGATCATACACGCACGAAATCCGTCGTTACGTCCAAAGTCAGTGCTCTTTCTGCCTTTACGCGTAAGAAGGAAGTGTGTTTAGGCTGTAAAGCTGTATTGACACCGGATAGAGAGAAGGTGGCTCTGTGTAAATACTGCGAACCAAAGGAGGCAGAATTTTTCCAGACTGAATTATATGCCGGTAGAAAGTTGGAAGAAAAATTTTGCAGGTTATGGACAGAATGTCAGAGATGTCAAGGAAGCCTTCATCAAGAAGTGATTTGCACGAAGTTTGTTTTACAATATTTTTAAATTATTACTCTCCAATAAATTAAAATTCCAGTAACAGATTTGATCTATAACCGCTTTTTCTTCTTTTAGTCGTGATTGCCCAATATTCTATATGAGAAAGAAGGTGCAGATGGAATTAGACACTCAAATGAAACGTATTGAGAGATTTGGTATTCCAGAATGGTAAAATTCAAACATTGAGACATGTTAGTTGAATGTGTATAATATAATTATTAACGAATACGTAAGTTATTGTTAATTTAAATAAATTTATAGTTTTTTTTAATGCTATCGTACTTTCTCATCCCATGTTTGAAGGTACATGTTGCTACTTTTAGTATGTCAAATTGGTTTAACTTGACAATAGCAAATTGTTAACGTTATACCACAAAAATAAGTAATATTAAATTAAAATAAATGGAAAAATATTTTAATCTACATGAAAACGTCAATGTCAAAAAATTAAAATCATATATTTATTTATTTATTATTTTTGTTCAGATAATTTAAATGACTGGTCAAAATGAAATTGATTCTTAAAATATTTATTATGAAATAATGTCTATATTTATTTTTAAATACATAAATTAATTATCAAATTTCAATACACTGCTCAGTAAATGCGTTTGATCAACGTGCTTAAATATTATTTATTATTATTTGGTATATGAACTGAAACAGTTAAAAATCAAATAATTTACTTTTAAACGAAAACTATCAATGTACATTTCGTTTCTCTTTTCTTTTTTTAGCTGTTTTCAAATTAACATCACTTAGAATACAAATCTCGTCTTTTTACGGCAGTATAAGATTTTTTTCTGCAATTCCATGTAACAAGTTTTTCAGTATTCAAGATATTGTGCTTCGATCGTAAATAAAATCCGTTTGCGTTCACACATTTTCTTTCTTTTGTAGAAAAGAACTTTTTACATTTCAGTGTCTCTTACATTATATGAATGAAATTAAACCAGTTACGCATATGTACATAATTATTCACACACAGTGTCAAAATGTTGACACGTTAAACGATTTTTAATTTTACTGCAATGTCTATGAATAATGAAGTAGGAAACCGTGATGTATTTATATTTAATATACACTATAAGTTTTATCGCCAATTACAAGAATAAACTTGTATTTTTCTTATAAAATTCATTTAAAAAATTTTTACGTTGTATTGCTTCACGAGTGACAAAAGTCAATACATCATTAAAATAATGAAGAAAAAAAAAAGAAACAGTATTGTGGTAACGATAAAATGCCAGATATCGATGTGCAAAAAAATACTTACATTAAAAGATTTTCTATTTTTATTTTCATTTTAAGTTACGTAGAAAGATAAAATTTTTGGTTCGCCTTTATTCCGTGCTTCACATTACGAAATGTATGATAAATTTTAGCTTAGATTCATGATGGAACTTGTAAGGCTATTTAAAATATAATTATAATAAATAAACGTAATGATGCACCCAGCTCAGCATGGGTGATTCAAAGTGACAGTCGTGTGACTAGTCTTCTCAGTAAGGCTCGGGTAAAAAAGATTGTTCAATAATGTTAATCATTTTCTACTTTGCAGCGCGTTGGACAGCCAATCCATCGCCTGATCGAGTCCTTCGTCTTTCGTCGCGGACGTTTTAAATATTTGAAACGTTCTGTTTTTGAGGGCATCCAATCCGAGTGCCTGATGTACCTCCGCGACGCTTAAACAACCTGCCATATCTTGTTTGTTCGCTAAGACTACCAAGATTGCACCTTGTAATTCCTCTTCCTAAAAATGTACAAATATATATATATATACATATATGTATATGTATTTGTATAATGACTTTTGATGTGCTGTTTATATAAAAAATTTTGATAAAAATAGATATGTCACATCTTGGTGTGTTATTCTTTGTAAGTTTGTGAGTCCCTATTATACATGATAACACTTACCCTCAACATGTAAATTAATTCATCTTTTGATATGCCTATCCTATCTTTGTCTGCTGAATCCACAACGTAAATTATTGCATCTGTGTTTGAATAATAACACCTCCAATACGGTCTGTAAATAAAAAGAATGTACATACACATATAATCAAGATATTACGCATACACATTGGAAAAATAACATTCACGCGCGTCGCGTCATTCCTAAAAATTGAAACAAACAAACCAGAATAATATATTTTTTCATTTATTAGATCTGATACATTCAACATACCGTATACTAGTTTGACCACCCAGATCCCACACTTGAAACTTCAAATTTTTATACGTAACTTGCTCTACATTGAATCCTATAGTAGGTATTGTTGTAACAACTTCACCCACCTGCAATCTAAGAATGTGCAATATTCGTCAACTATGTGAAATTCTTACAAAAAATGTAAAAAGTCAATTTTTTTTTTATCCAAAAACAACAATCATTGAGTCTAGTTAACGAAAGTATAAAATTTCTTTCTTTTAATTGAATGATTTTTACAACATAAATCATAAATTCTTAGTAATATTATAAAATGAAAAGCAACAGTGAAGTCAACAACATTATTCAGACATAATCTAGGACAAACCAAAGTTTACACAAGAAACCAAAAATGCAATAAAACTACCTGGAACTTCTTGTTCCATTATACATTCCGTATCGTACTATGAAAAATTAATAAACATTCATGTAAAATGTGTACAAAAAGAATTCTTGACATAAGATCGCTAAAATTCTCAATGTCAAGTTACAACTGATTTTGGTTTGGTTGCGCGTATCCGTGAACCAGTGCTAGTATGTACAAGTGGTTGCCTTAGATTCATTACTTTAATGCAATATACCTCAATTATTTTTTCTATCTTCGTAAAAAAAATTATAAAGTTATAATTACAAAGTGTCAAAATATTAAAATTATTCAACTGCAAGCAATAAATTACGATATAGCGTTAACTTTGTAGTGTGTATACAGGCGAGTAAAACGTAAACTGTCAAGTGAAACTTAACAAGCTTGTCAATGTGCACCAAACCTGTACAAAATCGTAGTTTTCCCGGCTCCATCCAGGCCCAGAATTAAAATTCGCATTTCCCGACTCCCAAGCAAATTACGAAAGTAACTGAGTAATCCTCCTGGAAAGATTAAAGCGTCAAAATTGTGTACAAATGTTGGAAAATTCGACGAGTTGTCCACCGATTAAGCCAGCATTTGTATTCACTGTATAGATTCGATGATTTCAGGAACATACATCCGTAAAAATGTATCGTATGACTTACCCATATCGATAACGTGTTATTTCCAATTCATATAGTATGAATTAAAGTTTATTGTCAAATATAATAACCACACTTATTCACAAAGTAACCGGGGCGCACACCCGTTTATCTCTCCACGGATACGGTCCTCTCGAGCACTTGCTGACTTGTATCGTTACTCCACTCGCGTGAAGTTCGTTGCTATTCCTTACATTTTCGATATACCAACTTAGCGTGCAAATTACTATGTACAGAAAAATTTTCTCACAATATGGTTTTTTTTTTTAAATAAATTTCTTCTATCGTCTTTCCTATTTCTTTCTAAAGTTCTCGATCTTTTTCTTTTCTTTAATGTACATTAGAACGAAATGTGTCAGAAGAATGCTACTATTCTGAATAAAAATGGTAAAAATTTTGATAATAATATTAAAAAATATAATGCTAAGAAATAATAATCTTTGGCAATAAATAGTAAATCATGGTGTTCTTATAGAAATTTCGTCTGCTATACGTCCAATCCACTATAGATATAATTATGAGTCGTGATGCATACAAATATGATTTTCATATTTGAACAATGTTTCTTTTTACCGAATTGATGTATCCAGCAGGAAAGGTACGTGAAATTGACGTTTGTTACCTCAAGGTTTATTAATTCAGATATTTGAATGACTGTGCATCTATTGCTCGCGTAATGTGCGCTTGGGAATATGTAGTCATAATTGTAGATATAAGAGAATGTATAATCACAGACGAGGTATACGAGTAGACCTTTCACCTAATGTAATTTTTCGGCCCGAGTTTCTGGGGTCCCGGGACCCCATTACCATTTCCGTGTCACACGCAACGTTACCAACAGATTTAGAAATGAACACAAGAGGAAGTGAGACAGAAAATGAAATTACAGAAATTTTATTATTTTTTAACGGAATGAAAGCTGTACGGTTCATCATTGGACATTAATCGATTCATTTCATTGCAGTAATCAATCGATTAAGATTATTTAAAAATTTCAAGATTATTAAAATACCTAAGGATGTATTTCATTGATACGTACACCGCAAATCGTCTATTTTTTATTTTAAATTGTAATACATCATTTATTAAAAAAATAACTCGGCAGAAACGTATTTGCGGCTCGAAATCAGTTTAATCAGACTGCGCATCGGGGCCCCAGAAACTCCTCATTCCTCACTTTCGCACACTATGCCCAATTGCGTGTACGTGAGCTCGTAGAATTTCGGAAGAGACGAGAACAGGCTGATACTTGCTTTTGCATCGCTGACGTCGCTTACATTTCTCAGGACAGTATTCTCAAATTTTTTCAGATTTAAAAATTAAAAATTATATTGAAATTCATTTGGTTGTTCAGACTCAATCGTATTAATAGTATAAATATATGAACGCACGCCATAAGCATAGTAAAAAAATGTCTTTTTTTTAATAGTTAAAATATGATCAGGGGGTCCTAAAACGTGTATTTCCGTAAAAACAAATTTTTGTCATTTTTTTTTTCATTATGGTATTTTGCTTATACATTGTATACGCCTACATAGGTCGGAAAATCAAAAATGCCTGGGCAGTCGAGAATCTCGGCTCGAGATTATGCGAGATCGAATTTCAGCTGTGTTGAGAGCAAGAAGGATAGACTCACATTCGCCGCCTTTCTCGAATCCACGAAGCTATACGAAACGTCAGAACTCATATACAAGGTGGTTGGCATTAGTGTGTGTAAGTGGAGGGGCAGTTCCCTTTGGGCACGGGTCTGCCATCTGATAATACTGCACTGTCTTTTTCAATTCCCCCCATAGTCAACTCACATGTACTTACGCACACACTACAGCTGGCTGCCCATCATTACTAATTCAGTGCCTAGTTTCTCAACTGACCGCCATCCATGAGAAGAGGCCGCTAAAATCACCTCCGAATTTTCAGGTCGGTATAGCAGTCAGATTCGGCCGCGAAAGTCCATAAGATATATACCTCGTCTGTGGTGAAAGGTCTATTCATATATCTCGTCTGTGGTGATATGTCACTACTATATATCATCATTAATTTAAGACAGCAGTGGCGAAACAAGAATATACATAAACATAAATGCATATGCAGGATGTTCCTTTTATTTTGTACGTTTTGTTCAGTGAGCGAAATCGTATGTACGCCGTTGGTAATTGTCGCGACGTTACGGCTGTTCGTCACAACCGCTAACAGATGGCAGAGATATTGTCTTCTACGTTCTTCTCTCGCGCAACAGGTTCGTTTTTTTTTTTTTTTTTTTTTTGTAGCCTGGACCGAAAGTGGTTCTGCTGGGATGCTGCACAAACGCGGCGCCTGTGTTGCTAGTAATTGACAGCTGCCGAAAAGCGGCGACTCGGTTAGACGTGCGTTCGTACGATTTGCCTTGCAATGCCACGGACGATATCGGTTGTAAAGTTCTAAAAGAAGGCGAATCAGTTGTTGATCTCGCTATCGCGGCACGGTTATCGTCGAATCGCGATACATTACGTATTTATGTGAACAATCGTCGTTCGCGGTGCCATCGTTTAAAACGTTCGCGTGTGTTTACTGTTTTCGCGAGACATCGTGGTGTCTATTTCACAGTGCGGTTATGTATTCTTTCGCAGAGCATATCGTACCTTTCACGTGTCCCTCGAAACAACGACGAGAACCGAAAATGCAAATACAACGTGAACACTGATACGAGAGAGTGAAATTTCTGTGAAAATTTTCATCGAGTGCTCTTCGAGCTCCCGTCATGCCGAAGACGTACATATGTTTGTCCCCACCAACGCGTTGAAGGAACTTCGGTAAGTTGCGCACGTAGACAAGCAAACTAAAATTAAATGCAAACTAAATATCACCGTATTTTCGTTTAGCTTAGGGAATTGTTCGTAACGATCAAAATGGAACGTGAAAGCATTCGACTACGATCGTCATGCTTATTATGAGAAGTCTAAAAAGCTTGGTAAACTGGTACGTTGAGAAAGTTTGCGCACTCTAGCTTCTAATAACCTACGGAAACCGGTTTTCTCGAAAATCAAATTTTTTTCTCGACTGCACTGGATAAGTTCTCGGTATGCCCGAGGCAACGAATACCATCGACGTCCAGTCTCTCTTTTGTCGAAAGAGAACCACCGTCTTCGATTCGTCGGGAGATCATAACGTACTACATAAACCTTTGAGAAAGAACGATTTGGGTCTCTGAAAGGATTTACAGCTAACCGGTTGCCGCGTAGGCTGTACACTCGCGAGACCCCTCGTTCGATAGATCGTGATTCTTCCTCGGACTTTCGCCCGTTCAGTGATGTACGCGGAGACATTGATACAGGCCCGCATCAAATGTCCCCATCTAACGGATGATAAATAGCCGAGGATACTAGTTCCGCTGGAATCAACGTTCGTAGAAATATCAGGCGCATTTGTCGATAAGAAGCATAAATTCCAACCGATAACGATATTTCTTGCGACCCGCAATGGGGTGTTTGTCATCATGGAATTTTAAGCACTATGTGTATAGCGAAAAAGTCGAATCAATTTAAATGTATTCGAAGCTTAGAACCCTTGAAAGTCTTGAAGATTTTGATATGTTTGAGAACGTTAACAGTTTTAGTAGCAGTTGTCGTATAACAGACTCGATTCGAAGATAGAAAAGGGTAATCATATTCACACAGATTCTTCGAGTAACCGTAAACACAGTACCTGCCGTCATAAACTGTAAGAGCCGCGTCATACAAATCCCTCTACTGTGCAACTTATTAAATCGTCGACCATCTACTTGCAGGGACCGCGTCCACGATCCCCCGATCGATAACGATCCCATAAATCGTATTGATCTACGGCCCCTAGGGAGACCGTTTACGTGCATCCTACTAACATCGGGGAAAATAGTCACGAGACGAACTGTTACGAACGACCGCCGGTAAGGTACGCGATGAAGGAATGCATCGATAGGACAGAGTTGCAAGCGAACGGGGAGGGGGACACGTATAAAGCAATAATGACAAATGGGGAGATTCGGTTCTATGAAAGGTCATCGAGGTTACGCGGTAACCTGCGGGAAGAAGAGACAAAATGTGTACAAAGGGCAAATTTTTTTTGGTGACTGGCAATGGTAAGATATCAAATGACTGTGAGATAGCAACAATTCCAAATTTACATAAGAAAAAAGTGTTCGATCGGTAACAACCGGGAATAGAAAATTTGAACGTAATAAAATAACACTGAGCGATGTTCTCACCGATTGGACGAAAATTTCGAATAACAAATAGAAACTGTACGATGGTCAAGTAAATTTAACGAACAAATTGATGTAAGTTGATTTTAATAGTTCCCTATTATGTATTCGAATAAAGTTTTGCCCATCTTTGTCCAGGCGTTCCGTCGGTTGATCGATTGCCAAATAGTTGACCGCACATCACGATCGATTGAGAAATTTGTTACGAGATCATGGAGCAACTGGTTTGTACCGTAGCACGGTTGAGCAAGCTTTGATCCCATACAACGAACAATTCTATTATTAATGATGAAACTAAACAATGTTTGTTTACATTGCGCGATCATCGGGAAACCTTACTCGTCGGAGTATCAAATACTTTTGCGAGCCACTTCAGGTACATGTTATAAATGTAAACGTTCGAATTCTGTCGTATACGAGTGTACATATATTCGTGTATTTCCCATGCTGTAGATAAGAGTTTTGTCCGGCGTCCGATTTGTCCACGTCTGTATAAGTTCATGGCAAATGTCGCTGATGGTACAAGCCTGCGAGAGAGAGAGAGAGAGCGCGCGTGGTAGAAAAGGAGACACAACGTAAAGTCGCGTTTCTCTCGGCGAAGAGGATCGCGCGCTGCGAGCGTTCGTATGAGTGGAGCGTTGGTGGGGGGTAGAAAGAGGTCGAGGGTGGGGGTAAAGAGTAGGACACCGGAGGGAAAGAGAGAGCGGTAGAAAGGAGAGGAGGGCGAAGCGAGATGGGTGTACGCGATATAGGTTTCGGTTTGGGCAGCCGCTGGAATGCGGCGGCAGCGGGGCGGACGTATGACCGTACGCCATGCCATGCCACGCCGTATGTACGGACACTCAATGCCGTACGGGTTGACTGGTATACGTACAAGTACCCAGCGCTGCGTCCAGCACATTCCGTGCCTCGGGCAGAATTCGTACTTTTGTTTACGCCCACGTGGCCCTCCCTTCGGACACGAATTTTCTTCTGGGCCG